GGGTTATCCATAAATTATTACCCTAAAACATTATGCTCTCATGCTCTAATCAGGGTAATCATTTATGTACGCCCTGTTGCAGGGTATTTTGCTTAGACTTACGTTATATTCTAAGTAGTACCCGTCTTTTAAACGCATAAAATGCGAAGAACGTTCACTATAATAAATTTTACCTTCTCAATTTGGTTAAGTCAGCCGTACTAAACTTTAACAATAACGTCGAATAGCAACAGGACTTTGATCTAAATTTTCTTCGTTTGTCAATACATTTCTTCTGATATTATCGCACGCAGGGTCACCTGAGCTAGACATCCCAGTTTATTTCGCTTGATGATTAAACACCCCAATGCTATATTGGGGATTGAGTTAGGTTAGCAGTAGGATGGTTGATATTCGTGTCATACCCACATTTATACATATTGTACAACCGTCAGTGAGACAAGACGTGCCCCGAAGGCGCTCCCGGTTTTAGCAGCCAGGCCGAGTCTGTTTGGCCCTGCCACTCCCCCTGCTATACCCCAACGCCCTACCAGCCTTACTACACCGGGATCTATTCAGCAAAACATTCTAGTGATTAGTGAACGATTGATTACGGAGCAGTGTTCCTATAGTGCACTTAGGAACTTTCTCAGCAAAGCATTCAAGTCATCAGTGCAATAAAAGTGATTATCATACAGTTGAATGGTGCACCCCAGGAAAAATCAGACAGTGGGCACTTTATCGGTCACCTTTAAAGTGCCAGTGGAGACCACCGCGGTGTTTACATATATCGTGAAAACTGTGTCGGCGACTAAGCACCAGGACAAAGACCCACGGTCTTTACGACTGCAAATTCAAACAGATGTCTACCAGTGTCAGTGGCCTCAAAGTGCCGTCAGTGACAACACTTCCGTCCGCCACAACGAATATCAACAGGTGTACCAATCACTTACTCCGACGCCTCTGTACCATCTAAAAGCGTGGAACGGTTATCCTGATGGCAGTGTTATCGCTGGACTCAAGTCACTGAACATATTCAGCGTAGCCGTGGACAAAGGCGTCGCACTAGCCGAACCGTAACCTCCACTAGGAAACCGGAAACCCACCCCTGACAGACCATACCACCACACTGAAGTTCCGCGGATATGGTATGATCTCCGGTCTTACTGCTATCCAACGTCACTCCCTAGCTAAGTTCGACGAGCTGGCAGCACTACAGTCAGGTCAGCGCCCAGACTATCGTTGCTATATGTGAGGCTTGGCAGAAATTGTGCCTGAAACGTGTCATATTGAGGATATCAACTCTTTTCATCACCTTCGTTTACATAGACGGAGGCGTTGCCCTTTCTGTCAAGATGACCTTCGCCCGTCAGCCTGTGTTCAAGTCCCAGCAGATGTGGGAAGCATTATGGTGCGTTCATGCCACGGTCACAGCATAACACTGCTTCCATCATAATCTGTTGGCATACCATCAGCCACTCACCCACCAGAGACACTCTTATCAATCATCTCATCACCCTCAGACCACCTCAGAGCTAGGTACCCATGTGCCAAGTTAGGCATTATGTGGGATTTTAATGATGACACCACTGATATCAGGACCAGCTATCACTATCTCAAGTTGTGACCTTCCCCACGGTCAAAATACCCTTGACCTTATCTTAACTGACTTAGCGGACCAGTACCAACCACCTCAACCAATGCCTCCTATCAGGTGTAGCACACACTTATCAGTGCTCTGGTCCCCAGCTGCCACTCCCACTCAAGTACAGAGACCCTACATCAAGACCTACAGGCCGATTACTGACTCTGCAGTGCGCCTCTTCGGGCAGTGGATAGTTCACCATCCCTGGACTGAAGTACTTAGCGTGGATGACGTGGAAACCAGGCACTAGTCGATCCATAGTTTACCATGATGAGATGTATCAAGGGAAACATGTATATGGAGCAAGTAACAAGATCACTAGATTACAAGATGTTGTAACCGCTAGATTAAGGTTAGGATATAAGTACCTCTGGCAGTATGTTCCTCAAGCAGATGTAAACAAACTAAATGTAAAGTGTGTGGCATTATAATACTCAACCTCGTCCTGTTACTGGTCAGAAGATAGAACCTTTTAGGACAGGTCCAAGCACACGTGTGTGAAATGGCACAACACTTCATCTCTAATGGCAAGATAGCCGACATATTAAGATTGTATCCACTTTTTGCACTTAGTAACTATATCAGTTCTCATGTACAGAACCAAATCGCAATGTGCTTGAATACCTCCCACGAAATGTGAATAACAAAGTGTGAGGCCAGACATACTGCCTCACGCCTGTTCTCACGCATTTGTGAATAAGTTACCCCTTTATGTATAGAACTAAACAAATAATGTAAAATGAAATATTGTGTAACTTTCGGTGCCATAATATCCTGACAACCGGGTTAATTATTATGACCCTTGTAAACCCTACTTGTAATCCTTTGCGCGCTACCGCTCACAGGATGGTGTGGGTGCAATAAATGCCGCTGCTGAAAATCAACCTCAGTTTCCTGCACCCGAGCTCCTCAGAGTGTTTTACAACATTCATACTTCCCAAGCTCACCTATGCCTCCCCACCTGGTCTTCCTCCCTAAATGCCACACAACGTAAACACCTAGAAAAGTGCAAACCATTAATTATTATTATTATTATTATATAAAGAAATAATTTAAGAGTAAAGGACAAAACAATTCACAATCTGGCTATAATTTCTCGCCAGGTTGGAGTTGGCAACATTGTTAGGTTTGTTTACATCGTAACGTAAGATAATATTACTGCCAACAGCTCACCATTACCACCATACTTTACGGGTATGACCTTACCCTATCTGTCCTTAAGCATTCGTAGATATATATATATTTATCAAAATTACATTCTGTTCATAACTAATTAGACTTTAGGATTGTTATATTAAAAGTCAGTAAGTAGGAAAATTAATTTATCAAAAATGACGTTGCTGATTAGTCACCTTGTAGTGTTTTGATCCACTAATTTATATTATTATGTTTTAGTTGTATCTCTTAAGCTTTTATTTGATAGTTGATATGATACAGTATTAGAATTGATAGCCTTTTAATGTTATTTGTATCTAGTGTCCTGAAACTTAGACAAAATGTGAAGGCAAGATATACTGGGTTAAGGTGTATTGGTAATAGTTAAGAACAAGTGTCCGGGTTATCCAACTACCAAACAAACAAAAACTATGAAGAAGAAAACTTATTTCTTAATTCAAGAATAAAGCAGATTTGGTGAAGGAATAGTACTTTCCATATTCAGGTTTTTGCCCTTGTTTTTCCCATACCTGAAGACACTGCCACCCTCCTGCTTCACAATGGTGCCATATTTATACAACACCGTTGAGAAATGCTTTGTAGTTACAGAACACTTCCCAGCACACGACCAGTTGAATGTCCTACCTTCCTTTACCTAACTTATCCTAAAATACCTGACCTAACTTAAAATGATAATAACAATTTACGTCCAGCCATCCTAGGATAGTTAGGTTAGAGAGGTTTTGTTGGCTCATATTATGTACAATAAATCGTGATATAATTTATCATAATAACATTCACTCCAAATGTTTTGTATTAAAACGATGACAATACTGCTGCAGGGAAGATGTGTTCTTATTTATCACCTGACTAATAATAATTATTACAAAAATCCTAAATCGACTATTATTAGTCATTTTTGGCATATGATTTAGAATAATTTATCATCATCTTTACAAAAGGTGTCTGAAGTTGTTGCTGCAGCTGTTGTTTCTTTGAGAGTATGTAAAAGAATGGCATTATTAATGTCTATAGAATGTTTGGACTCTTGCTTACATAAAGAAAGATGGTGTCTTTCTCGTGTAGGCAGGTGGCAATCTTTATTCATGAGAAAACTAGGGAAAACCTGATTATGGAAAGTGCTATTACTCAACCCACTTTGCTTTATTCATGAGGTAAGAAATAGTTTTCTTCTATAGATATTTTTTATTAGGTAGTTGACTAGCCTGGACCCTTGTTATCAGCTATTACCGGCTAAAGTTGGTGTTTAGCATCTAGGTATAATGCAACAGGATCTTTATCAATGTGTTTTTTAATGTATAGAATGCATCTCTGGTGGAGGACAAAAGAAAATATGAGTGATCTTGTCAAACTAAAATCAGAGGATAGGAGCAGTGCATCAGGAGTGTACCTGTCTCTTGTCTCAGGGTCAATCTCAAGTCAAATACTATACAGGTATTATAAGGATATTTTTCAGTGTGACGTTACTGAACACTCCAGGTTTTCTTCGGGTACTCCAGTGTCCTCCTGTACTCACATTGGACCCATGAAGGGCAAACTCAAAAAGCCACAAGTTTCTTTCCCAAGACAAAAAAGATAAATGAAGCATAAAAGAATAAATGCTAATGCTAAACATTTAGTTTCACATGTTTACTACACTCAAAGGTTTGTGTAGTGTCCTTTCTTAAATGGTATAACACCAGTTTCTAATTATATACACTCCTCGTGTAGACAATTATAACTTTATTTTCATTAAGTCACATTTGTTTTTATTATGCCTCTCCCAGACTTATCGTATTTTCTTTGCATTAAAACAAACCTATCATTGATCATTGAAGATCCCATTGAAAAATACAAAGCAATAAAGCACCACTCCTTTCCATAACCATGTGATCACTGTATTACAACAGACAGGTAATGTGTGATGAATTATAATAATTAGCTAGTTAAAGTAAAATAGAATAAAGTAGAGCTTTATGTGTTCATAAGATGTGACTAAAGGTGTGGGGAACCATTGCCATTATTACAGTACGTACATATATACCGTATACGTACTCAGATTCTCAGCACATCCCACAGGATCTCCATTGACATCTTCACCTGAGTTTTCACATACAGGTATTTTAAATTTCATAAGAAATTTTCAGTTATTTTTTCTAGTGTATCAGTTTTTAACAAATATAATACTGAACAGTATTACAATATGATTCTCATAGAAAGTCTTAGAAATATATATTTTTTTTGTTTAAATAGCATTTTCTGCTATTATTCCAGCACTTGTTATTACTGTACTGAATCAATGACAAGTGCAGATAAATATTATGAAGCTTCAATGTGACAAGATGGCATCCTAATACCTGTACCTGTACAGTAGTACAATGATTATGGTAGGTCTTTAGTGTTACATCTATTAGTGCTCAAGGGTTCTTTATTTAATCATTACATAATACAATATGGTATTATATTTTTCAGCTGCAAAGCAAAGTAGTTTATGTTAACCACCAACTTATATTTGTTCAGTTAATTTATATAACAACAGAAATGGTATTTACAACAGCAAGAGCTATTTATAAAAGATCATCTTTGAGAATCATAATTTATACTGTACCCAGCACAGTACAGGTACAGTACTATACTGTATATAGAAACCTGAGAAGAGAAAATATATATCTACAACAAACAAGAGTTTTCTTGTGGTCGTGGTACAGTATATGAAATATATGTGTGAAAACTCAACATAAATTGTCATCCAACATCAGAGTATTAATCCTGTGAATAAACAAAATAAATATCAAAAGTTTTGAAGAAAATTCCAGGCAATAATGTGACAGCAATTCTAGACACCTTTACTTCAAAAATAATATTTTAAATCCCCAGAGGAAGGACAACAGATCGTGTGTTGATGATCGGGTCAGAAAGAACAGGCCATAAGAGAGTTGATGACATAGACTAACATAAGCTAATGATATTACAAAAGGTTTTGATTCAGATAAGTTTGTTTGCTTAATGTCAAATTTAACCATTTATCTAACAGGCCAAGTCTGAAGAATTTTTTAAGTTTTACATGATTTATGGAGCTGAGAAGACAAATCTGAAACACTCTTGTCTAATTATGTTATGTACAATCACCCACAAAAGTTCTGTCACCTCTCCTCCTGAACCGTGAACCCCGAGATTCAGACGCATAAATCCGAATCATTTACGGGCAGAATAATGCATGAGTGACTACTGTTTTGGGTTCACGAGTCTGAATCTCGGGGTTTGTGATTCAGGAGGAGAGGCGACAGGACTTTTGTGGGTGACTGTACAGTACTACATATACTAGTACAAGGGGTATACTGTAAATGCATAATTTCCCAAAATCCATCTATTTTCCAAATATTTATACACAGTATATTGTACTGTACTTACATAAATAAGGTAAAAGTGTAATGGGTTATATTTAGAATTAAGATAACTGATCATTGTAGCACCTGTATGCAGAACATTCAGTTCGTGATGGTGTATAGTAGTACAGTATGTATACAGTACAGTATTAATTTTTATCAGAAGTGCAAATACAGTAAGAAAATTTGAAGTAAGCTTAAAGTTATCATGTTACTCCAAAGTGTTGTGTTTTCTTTGCCACAGTGGCACTGAACCTTTTCCATGTTCATATTAAGCAGGTGACATAAACCAACAACAGGTAAATGATCTTGATAAATTTAGGTTATGATCATGAATAGTGTACTGTATATTGTACAGGTACTGGATCAGTAAATTGGGATCACCTAAAGAATGTACCTCTCAGCTTTATTTCCTTTTAAGATTAACCATATTAACTCTACGCTAACTTAACCTAGTCTAACCTAATCCTCACAGATAGTATCAGGGTGTTTAATCATCAAGTCAAAGAAGTTGAGTGCTAATCCTCAAATGATTCATAAATTGTTGTTAATGGTGAAGGAGAACTACTGAAGCATCTTTCAGGGATGGCTATATACTGTACAACTGTTAATGAATATATTGCAGTTGTGTTTTTATTGGAAAAGAATACAGAGACCATTGCCGCTGTTATGTTTTATTAACAATACTGTGCATGGTTACAGGTGGCTTATGGTCTCTTAGTTAGCTTAAACACCTAATTATTGTCAGCATGACTAAGCAGGTGCAGTTATGCAACAGTTTATGGGTGGTTCACTGTAGCACCAAGTAGGAAATAGAATTTTTATATTATCTGGTTTATCTTTTGTTAGTGTGGAAGAGTTAGATAAAACATTTCCTGAAAGTGGTGATAAAATGAAAGCTCTCTTGACAGATATTGAAGTTGGTGAAGCCAGAGAACATCTGAGCCACTCATCAAGCCTGAGGCCATTCTAATTATGGCGGTAATGACCTGTAATGTACAACACTGTGGCATGAAGAGTGAGCTTAAAATTCAGCTGTCGTGGATAAAGTTTTGTTAAAAGCGGGTTTGATATAAGCGGTTGACAGCGAGGAAACTGAACTGATACTGTAATACCTACTTAGTTTGTTTGTTTACAGACCAGTGTTCATAATGCTAACAACTGTTTCACTTTAAATAAAGAGTGCGTGTGCATCCTTGTTACTGACAAACATCTCTTTACGTGCTTTATTGTATTATCAGAGTGTTGTGTTGCACCAAGTGGTAGTGACAGGCATCTTTCATTCCACTTTAAATGAAGAATGGCTGCACTACCAGAGTTGTTCTCCTGGTGGCTGAAGATTGACTTCATTTTTTACTCAATCTTTTCACTTTTGTAATTTATTTATTGTACATGTGTATCAATAATGCTCAGATATATTAGTATTGCTGTACTAAGCTGTTGTAATAACTTGAATTGAAATATTCGTAACAAATTAAGAATATGCCAGTTGAAAAATAGAATTCTAGTTTCTGAAATCATACTAAATTTTAAAGTCAGCAACAACAGTCTTTTGAGTTAATTACCATAAGATTACAGACCATAACATCATCTGCTGGAGTTAGGTAACATGGCATGATTTTGATAATAAATAAAAATGTTGGGGTTTGCTTTGGTATATAAGGTACAGTACTGTACTTTAGACAAGCTTTGCAGAGTGTTAGGTTGTGTGTGGTTTGAGCTTTGGTATGTAATGGCTGCTTGTACTGTACTGACAATCATTAATATACTGTACGTACATGTCAGAGTTCTTCTTTACTTGTCTTTATATAATAATACAGTACAGTACAATATACATAATGCATAGATAATTATTTACAATTCTGTATATATATTTAGATACTGTACTTTTAAATTTATTTTTTTCAGAAGGTCATCCATCAAGAAGAAGCATAATGATGCATGCTTCTGCTGATGGAGATTTTGAAGCAGATGAATCCCAGTATCTCCTCTCAGACACAGACGCAGACACCCGCACAATCAACATGACGGGAGCACAAAGGCTTTGTTGTCTCTCATTTTGCATACGAAACTTTTTTGCACGGTAAGTATTGTACTGTAACGGTCAGCATACTTTTAACTCCTTCAAGTCCAGGCTAGTACAGTACTGCACTTGCATACCATACCCAGTGAAAATTCTGGATTTGAGAATATTTTAAAGTATTCATTTTATGGAGACAGATATGTGAGGAAAAACACCAAACATATAGAATAGACAGAGTCATTACCAAAGTTTATTTAAAATTTTGTCTTGGTGGAGTATGTCGGGGTAATAGAGGATAAAGATAGTGATAAGATATATAAAACTACAATACAATAGTCATAATTAAGTATTTTGTACTTATATGAGAGGGTTTTATGAATGATTTTGTGAGAATGTACCAAGATCATGACAATTGTTGTTTTGTTTGCGTCACTATATTGTATAAATTGGTCATATGTAGTCAGATATAATGCTTCAGAGGCAATATCATATAACTCAGTGTGAAAATATGTAGTTGGACAGTGAACGAATTGAAATCATCCAAAATAAAATGTATTGAAGAATGTGTCAGTTAGAGTATGTAGCCAACCACCAGGAGGGTCAGTAGTGTAGGGAGGGACACAGACACAGTATTTACATGCTTTAATTGCTTCTCTTCTCTAGTATGAATAAACACTGAAATTGTTCTTGTGTCATATACTGTTATCATATTGTAGTCTTTGGCCCTTTGTTAGGTTAACTGAAGTCTGTCTTGTGCCATTTACTGAAACTCATTGATCTTTACTCTTAAATCAGGTTATGTGACAGCATGGTGAATTGCTGCATGCGTCGTCGCCAGTTGTCGGCGAGATCAGTTAGAATTGGTTACCCCACAACAGAGAAGTTCCCTCCTAATGTCATCCGTAATCAAAAGTTCAATTTCTTCACCTTTATCCCACTGGTAAGTACTGTCAGTAAATTATTAAATATCTGACAATATCAAGTGATTTTTGAAGAAAGGCATGCTGCTGATGGTGATGTTATACTGTATTGTGTGAAGAAGCAACAGGGGTAAACCAGATTTGGGGTCTTGTGGAAGGAGAGTACCATGACAAAGCACATTTGTTATGCTCTAAGAATGAATTAAGCAAATTTGTCTGTGTACTTAGTCTTATACTGTACTGTACAGTAGCATTAAGAATATATTTCAATACAGTACAGTAGTTGGTGTTCACATATGATAAGTCAGTACAGTAGTTATCACACCAAATAACAGTACAGTATGTGTCTTTGAATCAACTCAAATGTGATATGAACCTGTGAAAATTTGGATTTACTCATTTTAAATTATTTTGTGCCGTGTATGATCAGACAGTATTGTACAGTACAGGTTTTACCTCCTCATTATATTAGTAGTGAATACCATCTGTGTTTTGTCTGTTGTACAGTATAGTCTTATAACAAGTTATTATCCTCTCCAGGTTCTCTTTGAACAGTTCAAGTTGTTCTTGAATTTGTATTTTCTCGTGATGGCCACGTCTCAGTTCATCCCAGAGCTCCGCATTGGGTATTTGTATACATACTGGGGCCCATTGGTAAGTATTTAATATAATATTGTACTAATGTACTTATCTTTATATCACATTACTTTCAAACAACAATAGTTTGGAAATAACAGCATTTATAACAAATTATATACTGTACTGTACATAGCTGACAGAATGCTCAGTAATATGTTCATCAGCCTTTTTGTATTGTGTACAGTACATTGAAAACCTATATAATTGAAATAAAATGAGAAGCATTTCAGAGCAAAGAGATTGTCAGATTATGGAGCCTGATCACTACTCAGTGCTCAGGTAAATGGGTTGCCCTAACCTGATACAGCATAATAAGTTTTTATAAAGAAAGAGAGTAACTAAAGAGAAGATAAGATATAAGAAAAGTACTGTACTGTGCAAGTTGATAATAAGTAATTTATTAAAACACTAAGAAGTAGGGACTTAGGTAATAGGTGCTACAAGGCTGTACGTCCATTTGATTCCAGGGTTTTGTCATACTGGTGACAATGATCCGTGAAGCCGTAGATGATGTGCGAAGACGTCAACGAGACAATGAAGTAAATCAGCAAAAATACAAGAAGTTGACGCCCCACGGGGGACCACGGACAGTGACCAGCGCCAACATTAAAGTTGGCGACTTAATATTTGTGGAGAAAGTAAGATAATCCTCCAGCTCAGTCCACAACTCAACTGCATTCATCCCACCTCCAAAACACAGTTTACTCCCCACTTTTCATTTCTCTTATTTTATACAGGAGTGCTTGATTTACAAAACCTTGATTTTTGAAAATTCGCTAATACCTGTACAAAATTTTTTTCCAGCACTTCAGTATTTCTAAGCCACATTGGAGCATTGAAGTGATATTTATATATATTTTTTTTATTTATAAGTAAAATTAAACCATTGAAGTGATATATCCACAACCTTTATACTTTCTTACAAAAATAAACATTGTGGCAACCGGCACTCAGTCGCGAATTATGAATATTTGACCACAAAATTAAAAAAAGAGGTAGTAATAAAGGTACCGGCGAATTTAAGAATGTGAATTATCGCGACTCCACTATAAAATCAGAGTATCAGTTACATGGGTATTAGTTCTCTGTGCCTAAAAAATTTCTTACAAGATTTATTCCTTATACTGTACTGTGGAGAGATAATATTCTGATATACAGAGAGGTAGTCAGCCTTAAAGGATAGTCATATATACTTGAAGTAACTGAGGAGGAAATTTTGAGCTGACTTACTTTGATCAACTAAATCCTATGAGTCAGTAATGTCACCCCTTAGTTTGCTATCATGTTTAGGTATACTCTAGCTTAACTAGCACCTGTGATCAAACTCAATCCCACACAACATAGTTTTTAGGGTTGTGCATTTACTTCTATGTTGTGACCGGCTCATACATACTGTAATGCTTTAACTCGCCACAGGACCAGCGTGTGCCTGCTGACATGGTATTCCTACGAACAACTGAAACCAATGGTGCCTGCTTCATCCGCACAGACCAGCTCGATGGCGAGACCGACTGGAAATTGCGGCTGACCGTCCCTTTTATACAGAAACTGGACACAAATGAGGAATTGTTTCAGATGGATGCTACTGTGTATGCAGAGAAGCCCCAGAAGGATATACATAATTTCATTGGTACAATTACTAAGGTAAGATTTTCATGAGCTAATGTTTGTTAAGTGCAGTACAGAGGTGGTGTGTTATAGAAAGAAATATGGGTATCCCAGTGTCATGAGGGATGCGTAAGGAGGATTTGAGGAGGGATTGAAGGATTTGCTTGTATGAATCTCATCAGTGAGGGATTGATGGAGATTTAAGAAATTATTTAATTGTAGAAAATGGCATATGAAAAATAATGGAAAACTAGGAGTATGACTGCATTTATTGATTATGAAAATGATTTAGAGTGATTTTGTATTGTATAATACCTGTATGTTGTGAATAAATATCAGTATGGCATGTAATGAAAGTTGTTTACAACTGAAAAAATTCTTGAAGATATGTTACAGCAAACAGTAGTTTTAGATACTGATTTCTAACAATGCTAATCATATCAGAAATAATACATATGCATGATGATCTTTTGAGCTAAAGAAACATAAAATGTTTCAGTCATTTTTATATGTTCACTTTACAATGAATTTAATTTTATAATGCTATCTGTTTGTCAGATATGAGGATGGAATGCTGATTGATTGATGGTAATCAAATATTTTTTCATCATAGCATGACACAGAGACAGAAGAATCTTTGAGTGTGGAGAACACTGTTTGGGCCGGGACGGTAGTGGCATCAGGGAGGCTTCTAGGCCTGGTGATATACACAGGAGCAGAGACGCGCTCTGTCATGAACAACGCTGCACCAAGGTCTAAGGTCGGCCTGCTGGATCTAGAAATCAACAACCTCACGAAGGTAAACATTTCAGTGCCTCTGCTAATTTACTCTTAAATATACAGTATTTGACAAAGATATGTTTAGATACTGTGGGATTACTAATTTACTTAAACCTACCATAATCAGACCCAACACATAGATGAAGATTTTAAACGGCTTGTCAGACCAACATTCCTACAGAACCTACATTTCATTCATATTGCCTATTCAATCTGAAACCCTATTCAGAAATAACACAAGTTCAGGTTTAGCTAAAGTTTATTTTTTTTGGGGGGGGGGCAATATGCTTGGTATCAACAGTATTATTTTTACATTTATTCACATGTTAATATCTCTGGTTTAACAGCTTTTGTTTGTGGCGGTGCTGGGTTTGACCATAGTGATGATGTGCCTGAAGGGGTTTGGTGGACCATGGTATCGATACTTCTTCAGGTTTATGCTGCTCTTCTCCTACATTATACCAATCAGGTAAGAATTTTGTTTGGATTTTCTAACAGATTCAGAATCAGAATTTTTTTTACCAATACAATATATCAGTCCCGGTACAGATGTACTGTAGGCGTAAAGAAAATGGGAACTCCAATTTAAAGATAATGCTATCATGGAAACTCAAGTAATGTGTGTACTGTACATTGTTTTTGTAAGACATTATCTTTACAGAGAACTTTGAAATTATTGTCTGTGATAAGTTTTTCAAATGGAGTTCTATTTTGTATGTGAACATATACAACACATAACCACTTAATTTGTTGACTTGACTTATTGTATTCCACATCAGTTTGCGAGTGAACTTGGATGTAGGAAAAGCCTTCTATTCCTGGGTGATCCAACGCGACCAGGAAATGCAAGGAACTGTGGTACGTTCAACTACCATTCCAGAGGAGCTTGGACGCATCACATATTTACTCACTGACAAGACTGGCACGCTCACACAGAATGAAATGGTGTTTAAAATTCTGCATCTCGGAACTGTGGCCTATGGGACAGATACATTTGATGAGGTAAACATTCTTAGTATTTTTCTCGAGCCTTTTTCACGCTTTTACCCCTTGGGTACAAGGGGTCTTTCTGTGCTGAATAAAATCATCTGGCATTAGCCAAATAAAGTAGTAAGAGGATGCCCAGTAGTCAAGGGGCTAATGTGGAGTGACCAGAGTCAAGTGCAAAGATATTTATTTCCCTTCATTTGGTGTCATGGATTCAATGTTGCTGTTATAAAATACTGTATGTATTTTTTTTTTGCTATAGTACAGTCCTCCCCTTCCTCAATAAGATTCCAAGTACTGTGCAGTTAAGTGGATCCTCTATGCAACCCAGCCTCACCCATCATGCTTAAACATGTGCTAGTGTTGATCAAATCTGGACCTAAAATAGCTAACACTTGGTGCTGTCACACCATTCTCTTGCAGTTTATTACAACAGTTCAGTACTCTTACTTTAAAGTTATTAGTTGTTACTGTTTTTTTATACTCTTTTTATCTTCAATTTGAGACTGTGATGCTGATTGGGGCAGCCATCTCCTAACTCTTAATTTTTTTAGTGTAATGTTCTTTAAATGCTTATTAACTTTTATATTAATAAATTTTACCTGTCTGTAGTATAAACTAGACAATTGTAGGTGTTCTAGCCTCTCTTGGTAAGTATTAACCCCTTGTGTACGGTGTCGCCTCTGAGCCGAATAAAATTGTCTTGCGTTAGCCATATGTTAAAAGGGCATCACCTTAATGAAAGGGTTAAGTTTTATTCTTTTTCATTTGACCTGTAGGTGTCATGCTTTCCTTCACTCCATCAATGGGAAAGTATTAATTATATGTCATAAATTAGGTTTAGTTTAGTCAAGTCAAGTAAGTTTTTTTTTTTTTTTTTGAGATCAAGTGAGTGTTTATGTTGTTAAACCTGAGTGGGAATTAGAATTGATGTTGTGTCTCACTAACTACCAACCAGTAGTTTGTCAGTATCATGCCATTGCCCACAAGAAGTACAGTACAGTACAATTTCTGTAATTTAGATTTTTAAGATGAAAACCCCTTGGAATAATTTGCAATATTTACTTAGAATTACATTTTTTCAGGTTTCAACCCATGTGAAGACATTCTTTTGTAAAGATGGAAGTGGAACAGGAAATACCTCCACCCCTACACGCATGAGAAAGACCGTAGTGACACGTGTGGGGGAGGCCGTAAAGGCTCTAGCACTGTGCCATAATGTAACACCAGTATATGAGGAAGGTGTGAACTTGGCTGTTGAGGAGTCAGAAGACATTCAGACTGTGCACAGCGTCGTCTACCAAGCGTCTAGTCCTGATGAGGTATGTAGATATTTATTGAAATTTTAAACCTAAATTTTATTTTTTCAGATGTTAGGTGGTATATTTTATGTGTTTAAAGGAAGATAAACAAAACTTATGCTGACTAACCTATCTTGTGTACAGTACATGGAGAAGTTAACATTCATTATCATTATTTATAGAGATGTATCATTAGTTAAGACATACTTTATCTGCCTTCTATAACACTGTTTTGATGTAATAAATATTTAGGTTATTTAATTATTTTGTTAATTTACTGAGTACAGTACAGTACTGTATTTCCATAACAACTATTTTCATGGACCTCACTAAAAATTTTGTTTGTCAAAGCCAAACTAACAAGCAATTCTTTTTAGGTTACTGCACGTACAGTATGTTGAGAAATGAATAAAATCAAAATTGTCAAGGTCTGGACAAATTTAGTATTTAATTTTTCTATGAAACTACCTTTTCTTTTGGAATTAGAAATTATTGTGTACTGTACTGTACTATACTACTTCAGAACATTACATTTAGAATAACAAAAAACACTAAAAATTACTTACAGTGAGTAAATAGGATTGCAAAATGAATAAAAGAGTCATAAGGACAAGTAATTACCAAAAATAAATATTTTGACCCCAGATTCTTAAAATAAGTTTGTTGAAGAGTACAGGATGTACAGCAGTAGAATAGATACTGGTAGAGATAATAGTTATTATTAAAGATGAATGGGAAGCTGTAAAATGAAGCCAAAATTATATTTAAAGAATTACATTAACAAGTGTTCTGTAGGTTTCTCTGGTGCGGTGGACAGAGAGTGTAGGCTTGCCATTGGTTCATCGAGATCTGACGACCCTGACCCTGCGCCCGCCAACGGGTAAACTGCTCACTTACACTGTCCTGCAGATCTTCCCTTTCACCTCAGAGACCAAAAGAATGGGCATTATTGTCAAGGTAAAGAGAATAAAGCAAAGGCATTTCTTCTTCACTTTTTAAAAAAAAAATTTTATTTGTATAATTTTCAAATTTTTGTGAGACAGTAGGTGTCTTCCATTTATTTAATATATTTCTGTGGTTTGTGTTTCAAGGAGGAATCAACAGGTCAGATAGTTTTGTACATGAAGGGAGCTGACACAGTGATGTCATCCATGGTTGAGTATAATGACTGGCTGGAAGAGGAATGCATCAACCTGGCTCAGAAGGGACTTCGTACCTTGGTGGTGGCTCGTAAGGTCCTCACTCCAGAGCAGTACACACATTTCGAGGTATGGCAGTTCCCCCAAGCTATATTACACATCATATTTATGTAAGGCTAGATTTAAATGCCATATTGTACAAGCACATTTTGACTGCAGTTGCACCACAAGGCACAAAGTATCTTATTTGCATAATCGGTATGTTTATGCCTTATATTGTGGACACATTATGAGGTAAGCCAAATAACACCATAATACAAAACTTATCCTATTTATGTGAGGGTAAATATTAATCTTTTATTGCTTATATATATACACTACAGTACAGTACACTAATTAAGGCCTCTGTGTTTAAATTTAACTTTTTCAAATGAACTTACTGTATAGGTATTGTAATTTTTTATCTGTTAAGTTAGGCTCAGAGTTGCTATCCTATTAGAGGATTTTCATTTTCATACTTGCTTAAAGCTTTTTCTGTTCCACAATATTGACTTAATGCTCTAATAGTTTCATATTAATTTCATGACTCTTTCCATGTTTCATATATTATTTTCATCATGATCTATTGTTTCATATTTTATTACAATGTGCATGTCATGTTTTGTATCATTATCTTCATACTCTGCTGATACATACCATCTGAATTACTTCTGTTATGCTGTATACTGTAGTTCCTCCATATTCTTAATATACCATTTTGTTCTTATCATTTTGTAATGACACTCCATGTTGTTTCCATAATACAGCAACGATATTCAGCAGCCAAACTGAGCGTGACAGAGAGAACGAGTCGGATAGCGGCTGTTATTGAGAGCCTGGAATGCGACTTGGAACTTTTGTGCCTCACGGGAGTCGAGGACAAACTACAAACAAATGTCAAACAAACCTTGGAACTGATGAGAAATGCGGGAATTAAGGTAACTACGACAATATTTGGGTCTAGTTTAAAATTCCCAAGTGATGACTCTATCATGCCATAGGCATAATGTGACAAATTTAGTGAACATATAACTTTACATATCAAATTTAACTGTTAATCATGCTTCTTCTCTACAGATCTGGATGCTAACAGGGGATAAACTGGAAACTGCCACCTGCATAGCAAAGAGTTCTCGCCTTGTATCACCCAACCAGGGTCTCCACGTCATGGGTAACTTGTTGACCAGGCGAGAAGCTCATTTAGAACTTAACGCTCTCAGAAGAAAGAGTGATTCTGCCCTCGTTATTAAGGTATTGCAATATTAGATATCTTTTATTGGAACTTACAGTGTATTTCTTTTTTCTTTTTTTAATGCTAAAGAGTTTTTCATGCATTTGGAAGCTTGTGGAATAATTTACTACAAGTACCTGTATCAAAGATCAAGGAAGATAACAAAGTGCTTGAATGCCAACTGTACTTAAGAGTAAGACAGGTGCCTTTTAAGAGTAAGACAGATGCCTTTTATGTTGTTACAGTTATTTACTTTGTACATAAGGTGACTCGGTGAAAACAATGCAGAAAAATTTAAGAATATTAAGAGATTTATGTACTGTACAGTCTATCTCTTGTGGACGATACAGTTAATACAGTACAGTACAGTACAGTACAGAATATCATAAAACCTAAACTTAATAGAGTTGCTAATAAAAGCATGGAAATTGTATCTGAGAAAGGAATTAGATTTTCAAATACAGTCTTCTTGTACACCTTTGCAGGGTGATGCACTGGAGACTTGCCTCCAGTATTATGAACATGAGTTGATGGATCTTGCTGTGCAGTGTCCAGCAGTTGTTGTCTGTAGATGCTCACCAACACAGGTAATTCTTGGCTTTTCAGGTGTTTCAAAGTTCATTTAATATCCTGGGGTAAATTGCTTGTGCGATGGCAACAGCCCAAGTTGACCTGACCGGCTATCACTGGATTTGCTGCTGTTTTAGAGAGTACTGCATATTTATTTTTAGCCATATTTTTTATACCCGTGTTTTGAAAGGTTTAGACCACTGGTTCCCAACCTCAAGGTCGCGGGGTGTCCTCAATAGGGTCGCCAGGGACCCTCAGGAAATTTTTAAAATACGTATACTGTAGTACTTATCATAAAGTCATAAACAAATTTTTGCTTAACATTCAAGCTATATAATATATTATATGCCTGAGGATCACGACACCATGTTGTTGGGAAATTAAGGGTCGCAGCCAAAAAAGGTTGGGCACCACTGGTTTAGACAAATGTGAATTTAAGAAACTTTCTTATGTAAGCTTGTAGAAGAATGTTGATATACAGGCATACCCTCATTACGAAAGGGTTCTGTACATGAAAAACTATTATAAAACAAAGTACATTCCACAAACTCCCATTATAAACGCCAAGATATGTTCTTACAAAATAACTTCCACGGAATGACTAAAAATACCACAAAATGCTACAAAACATGTTTCTCATGAAAATTTTGTTATACACAATGATTACAAGCCAATAATAAACATCAACCAATCAATAAAAATACCATCATCATATCTGAGGGTTGGCAACCACTGTTTACCCATGGATGTTCAAGGGCAAGAGATGAAATTAATGAGAATGGATGCCCCAACCTTTCCTCATCAAAAGACTAATTACTAGGGAAGTAGAAAAAGTTGGGAACGAGCTATGGGAGGTAGAGGTCGCTCATACCTCACTCTGGTAAAGGACCAGCCCATCACCTAATAAGTGAAATACATTCAGTTCAGTATAATATAGTGTAGTATTGTATAATAATTTGACCTGTATTGATGAGAAACCAGATGAGATTGGAAATATAATGAAGCACTAAGCCAACATTGATAATGATTATATTAATGTAGTAATATATAATGATTAATATACAGTACTGTACTACATAAAATCTTAGGAAATATACTGTACAAGTAAAATATAAAATTCTGTACACAGAGGTACAATACCTGTATGTATAAAACAAAAACAGAAATTGGTTCAGCAGTTGTTCCCTGTTGCAGAAAGCAGCCGTGGTGCGCCTGATACAGCGGCACACAGGGAAGCGCACAGCAGCGGTGGGAGATGGTGGGAATGACGTATCTATGATTCAGGCTGCAGATGCTGGTATTGGTATAGTTGGCAAGGTAGGAAATTTTCCCCCAAGAGAACATATACAGTATATAGATAGTTTATTAGGTAATTTTAATGAAGTTTTGTTGGAGGTCTGTATTGTATTTACTTGACCCAAAAGGATTAAGTCAGGTTACAATACTGCAGTGTAATGAGTGAGAACTTAGATACCAGTTCAAACTACTGTATTATTCAGCTTAATAAAGATGATCTACAGTTAGATAAGGTAAGATGTATTGGAAGCCATATTGTAACCCACAAATTGTATGCTCGGTAATCAATTGCCTGTACAGTAACTGTTAATTGGCTTGTTAAGTTAGATTCACTGGAATAAACAAACTAGTGAGGTGTAGTGTTATTGATACACTGGGTGATAAAGGATAAACATTAAGCTAGTGTGAATATCACAAGAAAATGGAGGCAGAAAGATTGATGGAAACACTACATTTAAATATAGCAAGTGTTTGCCACGAAAGATGGGAATGGACAAGTATTTCAGAGCAAAACAAGATAAGAGAGGAAGAATAAGGAGGACAGAGATAGAATAGAGTGAGAAACGGAGGAACTTCATTTGAAACATTACCGGGATTTTTTTTTATGTGTCAAGAACTTAAAGCTTAACTGACAAATTGACATTTTAACTTCTTTTTTTTTTTCTTGTTTAATCCCCTCACCCTCCTCTTACTTGCAGAGTGGCTTGGGTGATGTAGTAAGCACTCTTTAGTAGGAGTTTGCATGTGAATCTTCTTGGTATCTTTAATATTAAATGAATGAATTATGTCCTGTATGATCATTAGTGCAAGTCATAATCTCTCCAAAGCTGGGAGGGGGGGGGGATGGTTGAATATAAAATATGAAAATACCAACAAAATAAGGTGACTAATAATTTTTTTTATGAGCTTGGGAAGTTGTACATTCATCTCCGTTTTTGTTTCAAATTGTGTGCACGATTCTGTCACCAACAGGAAGGGAAACAGGCCTCTTTGGCTGCAGACTTCAGTATTGAGCAGTTCCAACACATTGCGAGGCTCTGTCTCGTTCATGGTCGCAATTCATACAAGCGCTCAGCGGCTCTCTCTCAGTTCGTCATGCATCGTGGTCTCATCATCTCCACTATTCAGGCGATATTTTCATCGATCTTCTACTTTTCCAGCGTTGCACTGTATCAGGGGTTCCTCATGGTCGGGTGAGTTTGTTATTTGTTTATGTAAAAACAATGATGCCACAAGTTGTCCACACAATTTTTTGGGGGGCTATTCACAAAATATTGGATTGAGGGATTTCCTTTTGCTGAAACAATTTTTTTTTTTATGAATCTTTCTATAATTATACTATTCTACTTTTTATTCTCACATGACCTGAAAAAAATTTTCACGTCACCCCTGAATGTTTTGCATATTGGTGCATAAGATGTGCTTTATAAACCCTGGAGCCCTCATCTCTCACCTATACAAAGTAATGCAGTGGAAGTAGAATCTTTGTGTCAGGCATTACCACAACCATGAAGCAATAATCACATTTTTGTTATGAGAGTTAAAAACGTGTAAGAGTATTAAGGATTGACTAAGAAAAAAGTTATAAGAAAAAGATTAGATGTAGAAAAGTTACAAAGGTGAGGAATTAATTTATATGTTTATTAAAAGTGAAGCAATGGCCTTCCTGAGGGCAGTCAAATCAAATAAACATTAGAAAAATCATAGGATGGATCTAGTGTGAGTGATTACTCATAAACATCATGGAAACCAAATTTTTGTGTGGTCAAGTGATAGATGTTCAGTGAAGCTATTTCTGGATCTTATATAATTTTCACCAGATATGCAACCTTCTACACGAACTTCCCAGTGTTCTCTCTGGTCCTGGATCACGACGTATCTCCCAACATTGCTCTCACCTACCCTGAGTTATACAAGGATCTTACTAAAGGAAGATCATTGTCCTACAAGACTTTCTTCGTCTGGGTGCTCATTAGTATCTATCAAGGTAGGTCATATTCATATCTTTTACTGCAGTGTTACAGCCAGGGAATATCACTACTTATCTCTCTCTCTCAACTTATCTTATACAGAACAGAGGTCATGTATATCTTGATTTTGGTCTAAAAGAACTGTTTGTGGCAGTTATTGTAAGATTTCATTCTGGGAGCTTTGTTGGGCAATGTAGGTATTAATCATTCTAACTTAATCTATGACCATTTTGAATAGACAGCAGACAAAATCTCACTCTAGACTAAGGAGCAAGATTACATACTGGCACCTAATAAAGTAGTTTTTATATGGTATACAGTAGAACGTCGATATAACCCGAGATACGTTCCAAGAGAGGTCGCTTTAAACCGAATTCGCACTAATTCGGAGTGTTGGTTCAATGGAATAATGTAGTTTGGTACTTAAGAGAAACACAAAATACAAAAAAGACTGAGAGTCTAGCCAGATGCACCTCAGCCCATCTCCTAGAATAAACAAAACATTGTTTTTTGTTGTATTATGTCAAAACAAACACTCATAAATCAACACAGCCAAAATTAAGGGATGCAAAATGGTCTGTATACTAGCGATCAGCTGATGTGAGAGGGTGGTCACGTCACCCTCCACTCACCTCCCGTCTGACTCACCAAGCACTTTCACTTTCCTCTCAACTTAAGTTTTAATTACTTTATGCTATCTAAAATAGATTTTCACTCAACTTTAGCTAGGTAATTCATCCTCTGAAGATGCAGAGCCCAACTCGACCAGCTCATTATCCACATCACTGTTCAAATTGGCGCCCCACACTTGAAGCACCTTCCAGCACCTTGATTATCTGCTTCATTGTAATTGCTTGCCTTGATTTCTTGGTCTTTTGGGGTAGTTATTGATGTAGTGGCTGACCTCTTGGACATAGTGGTGATGGTTGATGCACGTGGTAGAAGGAGATAGTGTCATACAATATGTCCATTCACTAGAGCGTCAGTGCGAGAACTGAGGATGTGGGTGGGTGGCGGGCAGCTGTGTAGCGTGCAAATTTTAAAATAGTGTGTATTTCCATATGATGCACCAGAATGACTCGTGTAAAATAGGAAAGATTCGCTTTAAATTAATATTGTTCTTAATTGTGGGTGTTGCTTTAAATCAATAATTTTAAATTGAATCGCTTTAAATCAATGTTCTACTGTATTATAACTCGGAAACAATGTTACCCTGATGAATGCAGTAAACTTGTAGTGGAATTTTTCACTCAGAATATAGTACATATATTTGCCCCATGTAAGCCAGTTTATGTTAGCTTATGTTTGTTCATATACAGGGAATTAGCTTTGGCTACTAAAACCCATATTTCTCTATAGGCGGGGTGCTTATGTACGGTGCAATGCTGCTGTTTGAGGACGAGTTGATCCACGTTGTGAGCATCAGCTTTACGTCGCTCATCTTAACAGAGTTGCTCATGGTCGGTCTGACTGTGCGCACGTGGCATCCCCTCATGATTGTCGCACAGTTCCTCTCACTCGGCTTCTATCTGTTATCAATCATTTTTATGCATTACTTTGGTGAGTATATTTGTGTAAGTGGTACAATGTAGTGTACTGTACTCAGAGAATATTGACCAATAGCATTATTACAAAAGTTCTTCACCAAATTGTGAGACTAAACACTCTTGTGAAGGAATAGACAGCTTATATGAGGAGCACAGAACCAAATTAAGATAAACGCCAGTACTGTATGGCCGAAAATAATATGCATGATATCTTTCACTAGTATCAATTAAATCTGCACTATTAATGCTACAGTCTTGTCACTTGAATCACATTAATATCTTAACAGGTTCCAAAGTTATGGTAATTTGCAGGTTTGCAAACTGTAACTGCATTTTTCTTTGTTTTTCATTGAAGGCACTTGCCGTACTTTGGTTCTGTGCACCTCATATACAATCATCAGAAGCATTTAGTGGTTTTATTCAGTTCCTTTTAACATTCTATGAGTGGGCTTTAAATATAAAATCAGGGCCTCTTCCTTCAAACCATTGCCTGCTTGACACAACTTGGCTAGAATCAAGAGTCACTGTTCAATATGGTCATTTTTAATTGCTCAACTACTGTACCAGGGTTAGTAAGTACTGCTCACTAGGTTTTAGCTTGTACAACATAATTTTATGAGTTTTACAATATTAAATAAAAACAAACAATAAAAGCAAAAAACAGCTGTTATTATACAGTATTCCATTTCAGATTGGGATTTCATTAAATCTAAAGACTTCTTTTGGAAAGTTATAGTCATCACACTAGTCTCCTGCCTTCCTCTATACATCTTGAAGTTCCTACGTAGAAAATTCACTCCACCTACTTACTCCAAGCTAGAAGAACTCAACACCTTCGGCAGTACCAGCCTATCACAACCACAGCCATGAGCCTGTGCCTAGGTTTTATACCGGTATTTAGTTTTATTTATTTTCTTTCAATGTTATTAAAGTTTGTAAGTTTGAAATTTAGTTTACATAACAAACAGCGATGATGAGTCAGCTTATGGTGTATAAAGAAAAAATCATACATTATGTCAGTAGGCAAACTCCAACCTAAGCAGCTCTCATCAAAGGATCTGTTTTCTTGTTATTAAAAAGAAATCTTTCCAATGCAATGAATAAGAATTTGACTCTTGTGACAGTCCATGGCAAAGCAGCCTTAGTGTGAATAAACCAAGAGTCTTCAATAACATGTGGTTGAGATACAGTTGATGTGGTGAGAATTTCCTCTGAGAATCCAGTCATGTGATATGTGAACTTGAGCTGAAAGTTTTATTTGATTTTTTTTAAATGAAAGATGTACATTTAGTCCCTTTTAATGTGGTAAGGTGTATAATGGAACTGATATATTTTTACATGAGAATTGGGCAAAAGGGATAGAGTTTTGTGAAAGATATTGATGTAATTGTTTTTTGTTCATTTGGTTCAATTTTAAATTAACCAATACACCTTATGTCTGACCCAATTCACTTTGCTCGCAGGTCAAAATTTTAATTTACCTGATGATAGAAAAGTTATTTACTCAACCACAATTTAACTCTGAACACAGCTTTATTAATTTCATCTCCGAGAGTTGCTTTAGTTTCTCACATTTGTTTTTATTACATAAACCGTGGACCCTTTGAATCCCGTCCTTCTCAAAACCTTGAGCATCAGCTCTTTCATCAAATTGATTTACTTTACACAAAACAAATGTAATTTTTAATGTAACCTGTCTCCTTTAATGCTTCACTCTCTATGTGAAGTATAAACAGAAACCCTTCCAAGATCTGTATAGAACTTGTCACACAACTGTTAGATGAATATTTTTCAGGAACACAAAAGATATTTTTTCCTGTTTTGTCATAAATTCATTTATATGGGATCCTTATATATCTGCATACAGTCCTCTCCCATTAGTTGGTATTAGTGTGGACAAAGCACATTGTGCATATCAAAGATTCATAATTTAATCCCAGAATATAATATGAAGCTAAAGTCCTTGTAGATAAACCAAGATATTGATACACTGTGTGTCATATCCCTCTATGGCTCCCATAGTCAAACATGAAGCTCTCATTTTTGAACACAGGTGCAGTAGCACTCCCTGCCAATGATTGACTTAATTTTGTCATACAGGGATATAACAGGGGGTGCTGAACCAACCCTGGCTTACCTGCATGGACTGTGAGAGTGGTCATTAAAAAATACTGATGAGTCGTAACATTTCTGATTAAATAAGAAAGACAGTACAAAAAATTATCTAACCCAGCAAATAAACACTGCAGAAGGTATTTAGCAGAGAATGGATGAGCCTTCATCATATACAACAGGAATCAATAATCCTTACTTAGTGATGAATACATAGACTTATTTTGTAGTTGCTCTATTTTCTACACTAATAGATACCTTCGCAAGTTTTCATTGAGGTTAAATAGGCTTTCATTTATTATTCCTATGATCACGACTGACATTATCAAAAATAATCTAGTACAGTACAGTAATTCATCCATCTCCTTGTCAGTGCCATTTTCTGCTCAAATCAAAGTATCAGAGTAGTCCGTACAACACCTGCCTTAGTGTTTGGAGTTACTAGTCTCATGCCTCTTAACAATTTACCCTTACCACTGTGTCCCTTCTCCCTTACTCCTACAATTTATAGCTTCTTCACAAAGAATTTTTTACAGACTCCCAGTAGATGTAGCAACAAGATAATAATTATTATAGTACAGTATGATTATTATTACAGTTCTATTATTTTTATTTACTTTCCTGACTTAAGAATATCCATAGTCATCCTGAGTCAGCTGATCTACTCTGTACCTAAAATTGCTATATGGCTTTTCATATGGATATAATTTTGTTTGCATTACCAGTGAGGGTCATTCACCCAACTTTTGCTAACTTAACCTAACCCAGCAATTAGCATTAGTACCCATTAGGATTGGCCAATCTGGCCAAGTACAGCTATTGCAGTACTTTACTGTACTACCAGGGAATAATAACAATCAATAGTTAATTATAATGATTATGTTCCAATAGTAGCTGTGGTGGTGTGGATGATTGTGTAGAGTAAAGAGTTTTAACAATTATTTTCTTGTGTTAAGTTTACTACATTTTGTCCAGTCTCTATTAATGACCAACTTATATCAGTGTGTAAGTGCTTCTTGCTGGCATATCTCTGCTCTTATCTCATCCAGCATCAGATATATAATAATGTTTCTTCTATATTGAAGCAGGTCTACTATGTTTGGCCAAAATCTGTAATATAATCTTACTTTCAGGGAATCATTTGTTGTCTATGATCATTTATTTGCTTCACCTTTCTGACATTTTGCATTTTATTTTCTTATAATCTATATTAATGGTTTACTCACATATTACAGTACAGTAGTATTTTTAATTTTGGGGACGCTACACAATAATGAACCTCAAGATTATATACTGTACATAGTAATTCATTTAATTATTCAAGTTTGGTACAGTATTTGTGAATTGGTTAATCTGAAACCGATTCACATATTTTTTTGCTTTCAATTAAATCTCAGAAGATTCTCAAAGATATTTTGGGTTCACATGAAGATTAGCACTCCAGCTTATTTCACTTTCAGATTAACCACTCTAATGCTAACCTAACCTCAGCTAACATTAAAGTGTTAACTATCATGTGAAATAAGCTTGGATGCTAATCTTCAGGTGTTCCATTTTAAGTTATACACTACTGTACTGTGAAGTTCAGTTATTTCAGTGTTTACTTCATTCTCCGGGTGTAGTACTGCCTAGCTGAGTTTATCGTTGTGTGTAGTAAAGCAGAGTAATGCATTTATTTACTCTTTGTTCTATGAATAATTTCCTAGGTTAAGTTTTTATTAAATGTTGATAAGTACTTTACAAAATTTGCCTGAGGGATTGTCAGGGTTGGTTACTTCAGTTGTGATGCATGAAGATCTGAAGCGTAGGGAGGGGCTTCCATATATGAAATTTATCTAGTTCATTTCTGTTTTTGTCTTTAAGTACTGTACTACAGTTGAGTTAATCAGCAGACTTCATCAGATCTCTAAGAAATATATATATCAGGTCTGAAAATTCTTGTAAAGTCCACAATGACCAAAATAGAGGAGGAACCCAGCATATTGGCCACGAAGAGGGTGTTTTGTGACACATCACAGTCCGGGGCAACAATGTCCATGGCCACCATGACTACTGTGAAATTCTAAGTCAATTATATACATTAGTGGAGCTTTTTAATGTTGTTTACCAAAAATGTTTTACAGTGTTCTGGCTATAAGTGGATCTCTGCCACATACTGCTGACTCTATGTCTGGCCTCGGTCATATTCATTGCCAACCTCGCTATTTTTACATAACTGGTTGCTGTACTTGACTAACTTTAGAGATTACCAGTATGCTTTTGATTAGATTAATTTAGTTAGTCTTTGATATTTTTTTAGTTATCAATATTAAATATTTGCTCAACTTTTCATAGAGTTCATCTCTCCTGTAGTATATAGAATGCATATAAGTGAGAAACAGAATAATGCCCCACCAACCCTGCCTAGTCACAGGATTAAACCATTATCTCATGGTTTGGGAAGTCCAGAATATTACCTAACCCTATTTAATCTAACCTAATCTGGCTTGACCTAAATTATCCCAACCTAATCTGATCTGACATGACCTAACCTATCCAATGAGTAAGAGGCAAAGATAAAAAGCAAGGTACCTGTACTGTACTTTTTAATTCAAATTTTAGCTAGTTAATTCCCTGAAGCTTTTCCATAAGTCATTCATTATTGGACAGTCCCACAAAATATATTGTCTTTGAATCAGTGTCTAATGTAGAAACAAAGTCCTGAAGGTCAGAAGTTATATTTAGGAGTTATGTAGGAGGAGAATGCAGAGTTTGTCTACCGAGAGATTCTTAGATTTAGTCCAAAGTATTGAGACAGATAGTTTAGTATGGAATTATGACCAATAGAGGAAGTAGATTTAGTACATTAGAGTTGTACAGTAGTTGACAGATTTAGGGTATGAGACTTGGGGGTTGAAATGTGACTGATAAAGAGACTCAGTGTAGGAAAATTGGAATGATCAAAGGTAGGAATCATTGTGAGGGTTTAAACTACTCAGTCAGTCAGTTGTCCTGTGCCTTGAAATATTAACCTTGTTCCCAACACTCAAAACATCTGATAATTGTTTCATACTGTACAAGGATTTTTTATCACTTGTAAGAAATACTTTTTCATGAGAAAAAGTAATTAGAAACAGCTTTATGAGTGTAGATGTGCATTTACTTTAATTACCATACATGATGTTATGGTATAGTACATAATGTAGTCATACTGATTTTGATATACAGTAGTTATATTACTTACTGGTTCTTCTTAGTGTTGTGTGAATGTTTATCCTTTGTGTATGTTCCAGTCAGTAGACATGCGAATGTGCATCATGGTATTTTCTCTCTCATCCTTTCGTCTAAACTTCAGCTGCTGGAACTTCTCTCACATACACTTAACATTCTGTTGTAAATCTCTCATCAAAAACATTCCCCTTTCAGTTTGTTGTTGACATGAAGGAGGGCTGTTACAGGTGTTAGAATTGTAGGAAAATTCCCAGCATGAAAGAAAAATATCCAAGGTTCACCGTCTTATTCAGCATGGTGCAGTACTTTTTGTTTTGTTTTATCCTTTCTTTTTTTATGGTATACAGTACTCTTTTCATTAGGGTTAATGTTTCATAGCCGGAGTACTACAGGAGGTGGATGCAAACATTTATCTGTCTTAAGGTTACTGAACTGAACTCAGTAACATAACCAGAAACCAACTGAAATGTCTAGGTGTTGACAATTGGTGCCATCATCTTTGAGAACAGATGAACTCAAAATTGTAAAGGGGCATTAAGATATGGTTAATTTCTTATTGGGATTACTTAGGCTTATTAACTCTATTACTATTGTAGGGATGTGATATTGTACTTTAGTGCTAATGTAGCTGGTTTTAATATGTGCATTATTTGAAGGTATTGATATTAATTTAAAGGTAATTACTGTTTGCTCAAACTAATAGTTATCAGCTGTAGGAGAGTATATACTGTATTGCTAACCAACCGATGTTATTGTTTATATGCAGTATATAATACAGATATAAAGCTGGGGTTACAGTATACAAGTATGACTTACCATCAAAGTGCCCCCTCAATATTTCTATATTGTGATTAATTAAATATATTCATATTACCTGTATCATGAAAATTGAGTAAGAGAAGTACTGCACAGGTAGTGTGTTTTAGCATGTTTCTCAGTACAGTTGTAGGTCTTATTCATAACATGCGATGAAAAGCAGGCAGATCATATGTGCATGATTGTCTTCAAAGACGAACAATAATTATTACTACCGGCACCCCTCATGCCCAAATACAGTACAGTACAGGGGAGGAAGGTGAGATTTTTAGTCATTTGTCTGTCCATCACACCACAGCCATTTTTTGGGCTATCCAGTCACAACAGAAATTCATTTGTCCAACTGTCTCTCATGGTTTTGTCTCAGAGACTAGTGCAGAAAATTGTCAAAGAGAGAGGCTGCAGTGAGTGATCCAGAGCAGATTACTTATTTTTGGTGTTAATAAGATTATAACATCTTTATAATAACAAGCCTATCACATAAAGACCTGACATCTCTTCTGCCCATCTAAATCCAGTTGAAGCCTTAGTCAAATCTAAATATTTTGTGTACAGAAAATATTATTAAATTCATTTGTAATCACTAAATAATTTATCATTGGCTTGGCATTTTATTTCCTTTGTTTTTGCAATTCTTCTTCTATTTGTTCAAACAGTATTGAAGGGTCATATCAAGGGATCAAACTTAGCACAATACAGTACTGTTTTTGCAAATGTAGATAAAGATAAGATATAAACTGTGCCTATACTGTATTCCCAAAAGTGTGTGACATGCCAGCTTTGAACCCCTGAACTTAAACATACTGTATGCAAAAATTCACAAGTGTTCTCGGGACATTGGTTTGCACACCCGTAGACTATAAACATCCTTGCATCCACACTCTCACACACACATGTGTGTGCCATAAACAATATCTAAGCTATATTTGAGCCCCATTATGACCCATTGATCCACATTTATATTTGTCACGTGTCACTGTTATTTTGAAATCGGAAATAGTGAACTGGATGTGATGGTTGCCTGTACTGTAATTGCAAAAGTACTGCAGTGTATGGTGTGTTGATCTCAGCTTCCAGTTCATCATTGAAGTTGTAAGCATAAAGGAAACACTGTACTGTACCACTAAAATGGCACACACTTCCAATTTTGAATTTCACTTTTATTTTAATGTTGTGTACTATATAGTTAGTTTGCTAGTCATTTGCATTATTTGCTTGTAGGTAAAATGTAAACAATGCTTTATATACTATCAGTTATTTAATGGGTATGAAGTTAGTGATCACCAAGAGGTGTGCGTATCAAGTTATGGATAAAATATATTCTTGGTATACAGTACTGTATACAGGGTACAGTGTTACATAACTGTAATACTGTATCTTGTTTTCATTAAGAATACTTTTATTGAAGCAAAGATATCTTTTATTAATGAATTGTTCATTGGTTAAAATATCTTCTTCATACATGTTCCATACCATTAGTGTAAATGCAAAAAAATCAATTAAGTTTAACCTTCAGAAGTAAACTTTGTTTTCTGTAGAAATATGTAAATAATCTTGGAAAGTTCATTTTACTTGACCTAATTCTTAATTTTTCTAAATACAGAATTGTTATTTGGTATTAGTTTTACTATTGTTGTTTTCTGTCACCATGGAAGCTGCTGCTTCATGGGTACTTGTCATAGATAGCGGTGGGTGACTGTTATATCTGGGGCTGGTAACTAATATTATATTGGTGGCAAGGTTTGACTTGGACTTAGATTGTATTAAGAAATGTTAATTAATGGAAAGATTGTATTACAGTTTAAGATATTATTGTGATCATTTGATTGTGTCTTCATTGTTTTGGTTTAAATTTCTTTGAATTTGCATTTTGTTATCTTTCATGATCTACACACAGTATATATTTACTCTATATGTTTATCTTGATTTCTTTTTATAATATATATATATATATATATTTGTATATGAACTGTGTACAGTAATATTATTTTCCTGCCTTCAGAGTTGGAAGCTAAGTGGAGTATTTCTACAAAATCTCATATTTACCTTTTTAAGAATTATCATCAAAACTTGGAAACACTTGTAGAACAAGAGAGTTAAAGAGAAAATAAGGAACTACAACACAAGGCATAAAAGCTTTAAGTCCCAAAAGGGTTCATACGTGTAAAGTGATGAATAAAGAATAATTTTAGCAATATACACTGAAGTATATTTGTAGCATTGTCAGTAACTTGCTGACTTCTCAGTCAGTGAACCTTTAGCTCTGGCTTCTGCTCAGATGGGTGACTGGTGCTGACACTCACCTGGCATATACAGTACAATATTAGTATACATACATTGTTTTGTTCAGTAATATGTACTTGCCTATTATGCCATTTCATTAGATTGTTCCAGCTCTGGAGGTGGCCTCATCTTGCAGGACATTAATATTGCAGGAAAATTATTGATCACAATCATGCAGACAAGGGCTAAAGGCACTCTAAAGAAGTAAAAATGTCCAGAGTACTCCAAGACAATATGGATAAAAGGATAGTTCTTACATGAACTTATCCTGGCAATTGAGATGTCAAAAGTGAGGAGACACCATTTCCAGGTTACCTGTGATATTGTATTTATTTTTAAAATATGGATAATGCAATATAAGGCAACCTGGGGTGTATCTGTACTCTCAACTAAGGTAACTAAACTCTTCCCTTCAATCATCATGAAAATGTCAAAGTGTTTATCATGTTATATTTAAGAGTCAGTATGTCACCACAGCTCTTGGGACTAGTTGCACACTACACCTGGGGGAATATTCCTTAACTCCATTATTTGCTCTTGTTCCACTGTACTTATTACTAATATCTTCACTTTTTTTTTGTAGTTTAGAATCTATTATTATGCTTACCGGATAATATCATACCTGTGACTACTACTCTTCAAGTCTCCTGATTCAGTAACACAGAATGGGAACAATGTTCCCTCTTGTGCATAACTTGTACCAAATATTGCTGTTTAAAGTATAAGTCTGTGATTGATAATAAAATAACTGGGTGTGAGTGGAAGTGTTTGTTATGTGAAGCTCTGTATTTTTTGCTAAGTCAATGAAATGTATGAATTCTTCAATAAATGATAAACATACTCTCTGTTTATTTGATATAAAATCATTCATTATAGACATTTCTAAATAAACACGCTAATTGTGCACCAATTATTAATATTTATGCTGACAGTACAAACTGAGCAAGTAAGGAGGATCCAGGTGTGTGTGCCAGCGAAGTTCCCATTCAGTAGTTATTTGCTTTTTTTATATATATATATATATATATAAAGGAGAGGGTGGCTGTTCTATTTCTTGGTACTGCATCTTTTAAAGCAGCTGTTCCCAAACACTGGGTCGTGGCCCCAAATGGGTCGCAATATGCCTCATAGAGATTATGGGGTTACATGGAACTCTTAGGGTGTTGCTGGGCTCTCATAGAGCTCATGGGGTAACTGGAGTCACGTGGGTTTTGTAGCGGTCACACGTGAATTTTTTTTTATTATTATTATTCCAGGTGTCAAGGACTGAAGGATGTGGCCAATGGGTACCATCTCGTTAAGTCGGGACCATAAATTATGGTCAAGGGATTAATGCAGTTATTCTCCTTGTGTCAGATCAGGTCAGGCTTGCCCTGATGACACGTTTTGCAACAGAAGTTCCACATTCCTACCTGTGAACTGCTCTCAGCTTAGTCACTCTCTATTATGTTTCCACAGAAGTGGACAGAAAATGGCAGCAAATTTCAATGATAGATTCCCTGAGTTGCTTACTGAACCTTATGATTTTGTTTAGTTTCCGTTTAAGACAGATGTAAAACAAAGTGGCTCTTTTGTACTCGAAATTGGAGGATTGCAGGCTGACAATGAGGCACGGGTGAATTTTGACATTAATGATGACATGTCAGAGATTTGGATTACTTTATCAAAGAGACATTCAGTGGTTAAACATCGAGTTATCAAGGTTCTAGTATAATTTGGAAACGCCTATGTCTGTGAGGCAGCTTTCTCGTCAATCGTGTTTATAAAAAAATTATTAGTACTATAACCGTGTATCATATTTCAACTTAGAAAATTGTATGCTATGTTGTTTAACCTTGTCTACCCCTAGATATAGAATATTAATAAACTGATGATGTACAGTCAGGGGCAAAAGTTGGCTCCTCATGGTGAAACTGAGTCACGGGAATGAGTCTCCGAATTGATTTAGCCTAATTGTTGTACTGAATCTCGTTTGGGGTTGATGCTGCTCCATTTTGCTGAGGGAGCAAACTTTTGACCCCAACTGTACACATGTCAGATTATTAAGTACAGTACAGGTACACAGTTGTAGCAGACGACATAAGACAGAATTGTAACTTAGAAAATTGTATAGTATGTTATTTAATCACATAATTATACTCCCAGTTTACAGAAAATTGATTAAATGATGATGCACACATGTCGTAATACAAAATATAACAGTTGTATGTTATGTTCCTTAACTGTGTAATTATACCCTCAGTTATAAAACATTTACTGATGAAATATATGATATATAATAAACATGTCACATTTTAAACATGACAGAGTTGTAACCTGCTTCTGCCAGTGTTTGCTTTTACACTTCTCAATGATGTAATACACACACACATACACACACACACACACACACACACACACACACACACACACACTAATTTAGTTAATAACAAAGATGCCCTAAAAATCACAAGCGAAAAATTAAAGGAGGCGAGTAATTAATGTTACGAAACCAATAAAATTTACAAAAGCCATTTGGAGAAACAATTACCGTAAGAATATTCTATCTTTCTGAAGTCACTGATGTACTAAAGAGCAGTGCGATCAGTGTCAACCGCAATCTGTATCTCTAATACAGTATGTACTGTATTAGTAAATGAGTATTCAAGTTTCAAAAGGACAGGGTTTACAGTACAGTACAGTACAAAATCTTATACTGTATACAAGATCTAATTTACAAATGGAAAAATTTCAATACATTTACACATACCAAACTTATAATACATAATTTACTAATACTAAACCTTACAATATACCATTTACACATACAGGTACCTGTACTAAATTTACATAGTAAACACAATTTATCAATTATAAATCACAAACTTACATCATTTACAAGTAGTACCAAACTTTACCTAAAAATACTTAGAGGTAAAAAACATATATATTTTAGCTGGATATTCAGTACAGTACTGTTCTCACAACAGCCAGATCACAGCATCTTCATGATACAGATTGTGGGAGGCAGCCAGATGTTATCTCAGGCTGACGTCAAGGTGAGGGAGCCTTGTGTATCATTTACATCTGGCTTTGAGAATATATGGCTCGTAACATCTGGCTCTGATAATATCTTTTCTTTTTTTTCTTTTGTCCTCTTCACCATTGATTGGCTCGTTAGCCGCTTGGGCGATCGGTCACGTCTCTGTTACGCACTGTTGGCAAGTACTGGGCATGCACCGACTCCTGAATGTACCTGAACCTGCTCCGGTGTTGGTCAAGTCTGGTCTTGAAAGAGCTCACACTCAGTGCCATCACAACACTTTCTGGTAGATTGTTTCAAGAGTTCACAACTCTCACTCCGAAAAAGTTTGCCCTCACAGTTTTCTGGACTTGCGGCTTCTTCAACCTTGAGCTGTGACCCCTTGTGGGGCGAGCGTCTGCCAGCTCCAAGTTAGGACACTCGACAGAGTAGTGCCCCTTGAGATGCTTATACACCTCAATTAGGTCGCCCCTTGCCCATCTGTAGTTTAAGCTAGGCAAGTTCAGGCTCTGATAATATAATGATTATTAATATCTGGCTCTGAGAATGCTGTAACAGAGATTGTAACATCAGGCCGAACTATACGTAGTTAGTTAGTATGGTAACATCTGGCTTCGTGAGTGCGTGGATTGTATCTGGCTTTGAGAATATAAAAAAAGTAACATCTGGCCGACCCTTAGTATAGTAATTTCTGGCTTCGACAATAAAAATATCGTAACATACGACTTACTCTAATAACATTTGGTTTCGACAACACATGACCAACAAGCAGGAGGCACACAGGATGCACAGCATTATCTTCGGCACCAGGATGCTTTCTTCCTGTTACCGATACAAGCTATTTGTATCTATGTGTTTAATAAATTACCACCGTGGTTATATATTATGAATACATCAAGAGTTGCTGTTTTCACCATTGTAGTCTATAGATTGTTTTCTAATACAGTAAATAGAACTTCTGTAACTTTGAATATCGACTGTAATGCAATGATAAATTTCTCTGTCACACCTTACTGGAAATATACAACAGGTGGCTTTGTTGGACTATCCATGGTCGAATTAACTTAGTGCTTACCTGTGTTTGTAGAATCCAGGAAAAAAGTCACAGAAAAAAAAGGCACGGAAAACCTAACCTAACCTAACCTACGTACAATATGCCATCATATATATATTGTGTTGTCAATGTGAACAAGTCAAGTGACTTTTTTTCCTGTGACTTTATTTCTGTTCACCTTCTTTTTATACCATGACTCTATGTGCATTGTTTGTGTACCTTCACTATGTATACTGTATACCTACATTGCCTATGTATATTGTATACCATACTTGCTGTCTACGTACATGTATATTTGATTAGATTAGATTAATTTAAGTTAGATTAGGGTAGGGTCAGGTTATATTAGATTAAAATTAGGGTAGATTTGATAGTTTTGTTAGCTGATGTTAAGGTTATGTTAGAATTAAGGTTAATTAAGGCTAAAGTTGGGTAGGTTAGTTTAAGTTTGGATAGGGAAAGTTAGGTTAGGTTAGGTTAGGTACTGTTAAATATTCACCAAATTATTATTGATCTGATATTTAATTTAATATCTGAAGGTAAGAGATGTAAATCATAATTATTTACAAGAATCCGTAAATTTTAAATGTGACTCCAACTTAGACGACAAGGCATAACTGAGAACGTAAAAACATAGAATACGAAAAAAAATAATTGGAGGCAAACGTAGAATTACAAAAAATAACGAAGAATAAGGAAACAGCAATAAATGAGGAAAAAGAACGCAGAATAAGGAAAGAAGTGGCTACTCAGCCGGGCAGACTGGAGGCTACTTTGCCGGGAGACAAATCGTGGTATGTCCAGTGATCGTCTTCTCGTCTAATACACGTGCCATTTTGGTCCTCTGGTCTCATGCAGGCGTTGATGAGGTCCACAGGTGTTATTTAGGCGTTGTCGTAGTCGTTTAAGGTATCGTAGTTTGATGAGCAATTTGACCCTGTATGGAGGAGGTTTCTACTTAAGAGGTTTTTGTTTAAATTGTTCGTCAAAGAAAATTTTGCTCAAGACTTCTCTATTTTAAAAGTTTCTACTTTACAGGTTGCTAATTAAACCGTTTATATTTTTTGTTACTTTACAACAGCTTCTTACTTTAGAGTTGTCTAATTTATAGGGTTTCTATTTCACCATTTTTACTTAATAGGTTTCTACTTAAAATGCACCCACTTGAGAGGTTCCTACTTAAGAGGTGTCTACTTAAAATGTGTATAGTACAGTACTGCACTTAAGAGGTATTTACTTAAAAGACACCCACAAGCCACAACGCCATCTAGTGCCCAATTTTGCTTTACGTTGTCATGGTATAGTGCTTGCAAGATTTTACTGAACATAATTTTAAGGAGAGTAAAATTTTGAATCGACAGTGAGTTATATGAAGATCAAAATGGATTATGAAAGGGGAACGGAACTAAAGAAGCTATATTTGGTTTGGGAATTTTGTGTAAAAGGGCTTTAGAGGTCCAAAGAAATTTGTATTTCTGCTTTGTTGATTTGGAAAAAATTTCCAAATCAACAATAAATTTGTAGAGGTCTTGGAGAAAATATGCATTAACGAAGGAGATATTAGAATTTTAAAGAATCTTACAGGCAACAGGAGGCTGCAGAGTTAGTAAATAATGAAATTAATAATTGGTTCAAAGTTAAACAGGTACAGTAGTAAGATAAATGCTAAGCAGATGATACTGCTTTTATGGTGGGCAAGAGGGAACTTAAACAAGTGAACAATTTTGTGTACTATTTGGCAAGTAACATTAGCTGTGATGATAGATATTGGAGAAATCAAATCAAGATTAGGGAAAGAAAAACAGCAATTAATAATCTTAAGGACCTGATGAAAGTGACATTAACTTCAATTTGGGAAAAAGGCTGTTGAAAGGCTCAACATGGCAAGGACTGATGTATGGGTCAGAAGCGTGGACATTTTCTGCAGACTCCAGAAAGTGGTGGAGGCCTTTGAAATGTGGTGTTATAGGCGAATGTTAAGAATAAGCTACACTGACAGGAAAACAAATGAAGAAGTACTAAGGTTAGCAAAAACTCCAAGAAAAATACTTGAAATGTACAGAAAAGGAAAATTTAAATATTTAGGTTATATAATTAGGGATGAGGAGATAATAACAGAAATATAAATGAGCAAAGTTGAGAGTAGGAGGGCCAGGGAAAGCAGAGACTGGGATGGATGAATGATATTAAAAACTAATGTAGGTCCCCAGAGAAATACGAAACTAAAGAGGATAAACAACCTGAGTAGAGGACTGTGGTCGCCAACCCTAAAATATGGGGATGGTACGCCTATTGATTGATTGGCTTAAAAGAGGTTTCTACTTAAAATATACTTAAACAGTATATACTTAAGGGGTCTTTACTTAAAAGGTATCTACTTAAAAAAGGGTTTCTACTTAAGAGGATGCTACTTTACCATTGGCAGTATCACCTAAGTCGTAATACATATGATCTGGATCCTGGTACACCCTAATGTCTTCATAATGGTGCTCGTCCTCTGATGACACCGAGCTGTAGTCACGGTCCTGCAGGGAGGAGTGAGAGACATGGTGATAATGGGGGAGTAATGGTGATGATGGGGGAGTAATGGTGATGGTGAGAGAGTAATGGTGATTCATGGGAGAGTAATGGTGATTCATGGGAGAGTAATGGTGATGATGGGGGAGTAATGGTGATGATGGGAGGGTAATGGTGATTCATGGGAGAGTAATGGTGATGATGGGGGAGTAATGGTGATGATGGGGGAGCTGAGAATGGTGATGATGGGAGGGTAATGGTGATGATGGAAGGGTAATGGTGATGATGGGGGAGTAATGGTGATTCATGGAGAGTAATGGTGATCATGGAGGGTAATGGTGATGATGGGGGGAGTAATGGTGATGATGGGGAGGGTAATGGTGATGATGGGAGAGTAATGGTGATGGAGGAGAGTAATGGTGATCATGGGAGAGTAATGGTGACTGCGGGAGAGTAATGGTGATCATGGGAGAGTAATGGTGATCATGGGGAGTAATGGTGATGATGGGAGGGTAATGGATATGGTGAGTAATGGTGATGGTGAGAGAGTAATGGTGTGATCATGGGAGAGTAATGGATCATGGGAGAGTAATGGTGATTAATGGGAGAGTAATGTGATGGTGAGAGAGTAATGGTGATGGTAAGAGAGTAATGGTGATTAATGGGAGAGTAATGGTGATGGTGAGAGTAGTTTTGTGATCATGGGAGAGTAATGGTGGATGGTAAGAGAGAATGGTGATGATGGGAGAGTAATGGTGATTAATGGGAGAGTAATGGTGATGGTGAGAGAGTAATGGTGATGGTGAGAGAGTAATGGTGATCATGGGAGAGTAATGGTGATGGTAAGAGAGTAATGGTGATGGTGAGAGTAATGGTGATCATGGGAGAGTAATGGTGATGGTGAGAGAGTAATGGTGATGGTGAGAGAGTAATGGTGATCATGGGAGAGTAATGGTGATGGTAAGAGAGTAATGGTGATGGTGAGAGAGTAATGGTGATCATGGGAGAGTAATGGTGATGGTGAGAGTAATGGTGATGGTGAGAGAGTAATGGTGATCATGGGAGAGTAATGGCGATGATAGGAGAGTAATGGTGAGATTGGTGATGATCCTGAAAAAATCCACTGAACAAATTATATGTTTTTATGTCGTTACCTGAACTAAATTGACCTAATGTAACCTTACATAACCTAAAGCAACCTAAGCTAACCTTACTTTAACTAACCATACCTTATCTATTCTAACCTTACCTCTGGAAAAGTTAGGTTAGTTTAGGTTTTTGGGCACCAGGGGGAGGGAAAGTAGCTTACCTTTGGGAAGGCTGGAGCCGGCGGAGGTGCGTACGGGGGAATGGCGAGTTGTAGGTTGGATACATCCTGCACCTTGACTCGAGACCTTGTTATGGATGGCCGTGCTGAAGAAGAGTAGACACAAGAGGTTTAGTGAAAAGGAAATGAGAGAGAGAGAGAGAGAGAGATTGAGAGATTTACACAATAGCATAGCCACCTGGATGTTACTTAAAATATAAAGAGAGAAAGGGGGAGATAGAGATGAAAATCATACCCAGTTAGTGTTGAAATAAGAGTTAAATCTAACATTTTACAGAGTTAAGTGTGTGTGTGTGTGTGTCACCTTCTACCCCCCCCCATCCTCTCAGTTCTGACACGTATGACGGCAATGCCTTTGGTCTCTCTCACTCACCTGTCTGACACTTGACACATATGAGGTGATTCTCTCTTAACATACACACACACACACACACACACACGACCTACCTGCGGCGACTTGGACGACGTTGAAACGAATCAGAAGGATGGTGATGAAAGCCATGAGAAGGCACACCATAACAATCCCCAGTGTGATGAACCATAACAGTGTCCGGGACTCAGTATCCTGCCGGGGGGAAGGTGGGAGGGAGAGTTAAGGAACGAACACATCACCTGAAGATTAGCCCCCCCCCCTAAGTTATTACGCATGATGAATAAACACCCTAATGCTACTTACCTTGGAAGTTATGTTACATTACGTTTGGATTAGGTTAGGGTCAGGTTAGGCTATTATATCACCAGGTGAAATAAACAGAATGGAGGTGATATAATTTTCAGTGTTTTGATCTTGTAGTGGATTTCTCCCCTACAAACGCTGTTTGTCGCTGCGTAGCCGACCCCACGAATTCCCCAGTGTATGCCTCGTGGTCTAGGTCAACCAGCGCCGCCATACATCACGGAGCTGGGGTCAACTACTAAGCCACGCCTACCCTGCCATTTAGCCTGACCTCGTGGTGGTCTCTTCTACCTACACCAACCAGCCAGCAACACCTCCTCCTCCTCCTCCCTGCCTGGCGGTCCTCGCTCCCGCCGGCGAGCATGGCGACCCACAAGCTGTCCTCCTCTGAGCATCCTCACCAACCAGCTCTCTTCTTCTAGCTACAGCCGCAGCAAGCTACACCTCCTCCTCCCCGCAGCCTGGCGCCTCGCTCCCGCCGGCGAGCATGGCGACCCACAAGCTGTCCTCCTCTGAGCACCCTCACCAACCAGCTCTCTCTACATCACGCTTGTAACCATGCTGCCTTCCCAGCACCAAGCTGCATTGTGCATCCAATACAACATGTATACAGAGAGCACATTGTGAGTTTCCTTTCTCCATCCCATCCTGAGTGTGAACACAAAAATCCCATACCCCACAATCTGACCCCAACATGAAAAATACAAACACCTACTAGACTGAGCATGATGTTATGTGTGTGACGGAGGCTGCTGTGACATCAGATGGTGGTGGAGGCTGCTGTGACATCAGATGGTGTGGTGGAGGCTGCTGTGACGTCAGATGGTGTGGTGGAGGCTGCTGCGACGTCAGAAGCCTATTGGCGGTACAAAAACACGAGAGTAAATAGACTATCTTTCAAAGGCTTAAGTAATCGTATTTAAGGGGTTAATTCATCGTATTTAAGGGGTTAAGTCATCATATTTAAGGGGTTAATTCATCGCATTTAAGGGGTTAATTCATCGTATGTAAGATGTTAAGTCATCTTATTTAAGGGGTTAAGTCTGTATTTAAGGGGTTAATTCATCGTATTTAAGGGGTTAAGTCATCATATTTAAGGGGTTAATTCATCGTATTTGAGATGTTAAGTCATCGTATTTAGGGGGGTTAACTCATCGTATTTAAGGGGTTAATTCATCGTATTTAAGATGTTAAGTCATCGTATTTAAGGGGTTAATTCACTGTATTTAAGAGGTTAAGTCATCGTATTTAAGATGTTGTCATCGTATTTAAGGGAGTTGTTAAGTCATCGTACTTGGGGGTTAAGTCATCGTATTCGAGGGGCTAATTCATCGTACTCTCGAGGGGTGTCATCGTACTCGAGGGGTTAATTCATAGTACTCGAGGGGTTAATTCATAGTACTCGAGGGGTTAATTCATCGTACTCAAGAGAATAAGTCATCGTACTCAAAGGGATAAATCACCAAAACCAAAAAATAACATCATACCTTAATAATTGCAAAAAAAAAAAGTCACAATAGTAATTCGGCTTCAGGGGACGCTATACCCTAACGTCCGCACAGACACAAACACACTCTTTCACTTTTCCTCCCTCCTTCCCCCTCTCTCTCTCAATCTTTCTTATTATCTCTCTTATTTATGTTAATCTATCTTCCCTTTGTTAATTCCAAAGTCCCCCTGTTTTTAATAAAGCCGAACAGGATATGATACGGAGAAACGCCTGGTGTTATCTTTTGGTTGTGTTATCTTTTGTACGTGTTATCGTGGCTGTGTGTGTATGTGTGTGTATCCTGGTTTTGTTTAACGCTTCCATCCCCATCCTCGCCTCTTGCTTGTTGAACTTCGATGGGGGTCTAACGCTTGTTATTTGGTTAAGCCTGGCTGCTTTGTTCATACACTTGGCTGTTTTGTTCATAATCGAGGCTGTTTTGTTCATACACTTGGCTATTTTGTTCGTAGTACTCGTCATTTTGTGTAAATCAAGCTAAAGTTAGCCCTAACCCTGGCTATTTTACCCATAATCCTTACTCTCCTCTTCAGAAACCTCCACATTTCGCCCCACACCCTCGCTTTCTATACCTAAAACCTCACTATTATGCCCAGTAGCTTTCTCCTTTCAATTTCTTTCAATTTCTTACAACTTCTTCCATCTGGTGTGATCTAATGTGTTGGCCGTCAACGTCTGGGTCAACACTGTCTTCAAATGCGGTCCCGTGGCATTCCTCTTGGCACTTCGCTTTCTGTTGTTTTGTGTTACTTTTACTTTTTACTTTTATCCTCTTCGCTACTAATCGGCTTGTTAGCCGCTTGGGCGATCGGTCACTTCTCTGATTACTTTTCCTTTTCATTTATCTTCTTCACCAAAAGATCGGCTCGCTAGCCACCCGGGCGATCGGTCACGTCTCTGCCACGCACTGTTGGCAAATACTGGGCATGCACCGGCTCCTAAATGTACTTGAACCCGCTCCAGTGTTGATCAAGTCTTGTCTTGAAAAAGCTCACACTCGGTGCCGTCACAACACTCTCTGGTAGATTGTTCCAAGAGTTTACAACCCTCACTCCAAAAAAGTTTGCCCTCACGGTTTTCTGGACTTGCGGCTTCTTCAATCTTGAGCTGTGACCCCTTGTGGGGCAAGCGTCCGCCAGCTCCAAGTAAGGACACTCAACTGAGTAGTGCCCCCTGAGATGCTTATACACCTCAACTAGGTCCCCCCTTGCAAATCTAATCAACAGAAACATCGATCCTTCCCAAAATAAACAACCTCAGTTATAAAGCAAATCTAATCAACAGAAACATCGATCTTTCCCAAAATAAACAACCTCAGTTATAAAGCAAATCTAAACAACAGAAACATCGATCCTTCCCAAAATAAACAACCTCAGTTATAAAGCAAATCTAATCAACAGAAACATCGATCTTTCCCAAAATAAACAACCTCAGTTATAAAGCAAATCTAAACAACAGAAACATCGATCCTTCCCAAACACCACCCCCAATACGCGACCCAAGTACACGACCCAAGTATCACGAACAGCCCCTCCAGAAGTACCCCCTCCCCACGGACAAACACACGTGAAATTAATCTAGAAAGGTAGTCAAAGTGTAATTCCGGCGACATTTTGGACTTTTTTTTTTCCTTGATGGGTAATATTACATCTACAGTTATGAGGAAAATTTATCTTACAAAACTAAAATCCTCCGGAAGTCTGTATGGATGTCATGACACACCTCACACCGGATATCAGTGGCGTTATTATAGATGCTCGTTGTATTTTTAGCGACAGTCGGAGCTATTCTGTTATCCTAGTAGGTACAGTACAGTAGAGAGTTTTACCAACACCTAAACTAATTCTAAAAGTGAAGTTACAGTTAATTTTTCTGTATTTTGTATTTTTGAAAGTTTCAGTAAAGTACAGTACTCGGTATTTTCCGTCGTGAAGTTGTGATTTAAATTAACTGTATGCAAATGCCTTGTGCATCAGTTGTATAAATTTTTGTATCACTGATTGAGCTTACAGTCGACCTCTCTATGATAATACCGTATTATCCTGTATCATGGTTCAGTGTGTTACAGTGTACTTAGGTATGTCGAAGTATTATCCTACGGTGTATTCTAGATAAACCTACATAAGCTCATTACAAGGAAACAAATATTTGAGCTTCATTATGCTTTATATTGGCGGGTGTTTTACTATACAACACAGTAATACGAACAAGACTTTGACCCGACACTGCCTACTCGGTAAACTATGTCAGTGTATACAATTGGTCTTTCACTGTATTATTGATTTTTTTTCAGTATATAGTGTATTGATATAAGAAAAAATACATAAACTGTATTTGTACTTTTTGTAACGCCATGGAATTACAAGCTGATGATGGTTATATGAAACGGCAGAGGTAAACCAAATGGATATATTGGGTTTGTTGTGGCAGAGGAACACCACAAGAACACAAGAACGGAGGAAGCTGCAGCGGGCCTATTGGCCCATACTGGGCAGTCCCATTTACACCCAACCCCTATCGCTCATATATCCATCCAACCTATGTTTGAAGCTATCCAGCGTGTTCGAGTTAATGATGATATTTGGTAACTTGTTCCACTCATCCACTACTCTATTTCCAAACCAATGTTTACCTATTTCGCGCGTAAATCTAAACTTCTCTAATTTAAAACCATTGCTACGAGTTCGCTCCTGGTTGGATAATATGAGTACCTTTGTAATGTCCTCTTTGTTCAGCCCTGACTTCCATTAATACACCTCTATCATATCGCCCCTCACTCTACGTCTCTCGAGGGAGTGCAAATTAAGAAGCTTTAACCTGTCTCTGTACACAAGGTTCCTAATGCCCGGGATTAGTCTTGTCATTCTCCTCTGAATTATGTCCAAGGATTCTATATCCATTCTGTAATACGGTGACCAGAATTGAACTGCGTAATCCAAGTGTGGTCTCACAAGCGCAAGATATAGTTATAGGATGACCTCGCTATCGGGACCTGGCGTCTTATTAGGCTTTAGTTTGTCTATTTGCTTACTAACATCGTTACTAGTCACTGCTATCTCGCTTAATTTATTTTCTTCACTGTCTCTGTAGAGTCGGTGCCTCGGGTATCATGTTTAAATTTTCGGTGGTGAAAACTGTTGAAAAATATCTATTCAGATTTTTGCTCATTTCTCCGTCGTTATCAGTTAGTTCGCCGGTTTCTGACTGTATTGGTCCAATCTTTTCTCGTGTTTTAGTTTGATACATTTGAGAGAATCCCTTGGGGTTTGACTTCGCCTTGCTACCTTCATTTCATTATTCCTTTTTGCTTTTCTTATCTCGGTCTTAACCCTACCGGCCAATACCTTATAATAATCTCGGAGGTAAACTTCACCACGATTTATTCTCCTACCTATAACCTTCCTTTGGCCAATAATATTCTCTAAATAATTATTTTTTCCATTTAGGGTCATTGTTGTTTGATCTGAGTTTTCTGTATGGCATGTTCTGCCTTTGTGCATCAAGTAACTCATTATTTAAATTGTTGTGGATCTCGTCAACCTCAGATCTCGTTATCAAGTCATCCTCAAGCGTCGGGTCTCCAGGTAAGGTGAGGTCGCCCTCTGTGGGTATATTGTGTAAGGTCATGTAATTCACCCCCAAGCGCGATACCCCTTCTCTCAGCTGCCTCTTCAAACTGTCAAAGTTTGCCCTTCTGAAATCTGAGACTTAAGTGGAATTTTCCTTGTGACTGCCCTGAAATTCTAACTGGAATTTTATCTCTTTGTGATCGCTGTTAGAAAGTTCATTCCCTACCTCGACAATACTAATGAGGTTTTCTCTGTTGGCTTAGGAAACAGTCCTAGATTGTTTCAAGAAAATCCTCTGATTCTGAGTTACCCGTAAGGTCAATCCAATCTATTTGGCTAAAGTTAAAGTCGCCTGCTATACAGACTTTGGAAGCCCTGCGCATTTCATCCGAAATAAGTCGCTCATTAGTTCTATCAAGATTAGGAGGTATATATACTACTCCTGTGATTAATTTTCCCTACCATCGATTAATTATATCCAAATTGTTTCTGTATTCCGCTCAGCTTTTAATTCGTTATTTATTTCACACTTCAGATTATCCCAGACATAGATTGCTACTCTGCCTCCTTTCCTAATCTGCCCAACGGTATGGAATAATTTGTAACCCGCAATTTGGTATGCGACAGGTAACTCACGTGAGTCATAGGTTGATCCATGTTTCAGTGAATGCTATTATATCGATTTTTTTTCGGTATATACCAACGCCCTGATTTCATCCATTTTGTTTCTCATACTTCTACTGTTTGCGTAGTAGACATTTAAGTTAGTCGTGTACCGAGTCCTCTCTTTGTAGCGTTTAGGTTTTAACTCCCTGCCTAATTTAGTTTTGTCATCATTCCTAGCACTATTTCTTTGTAACCTTTCACTTTGTTTACCCGCTCCCGCTGCAGTCTCCTCCACCCCCTCCACCATAGCATAACACGTATTTTATAGCAGTTGGAGTGAATGGGTGGATGAATGAATGAATGAATGAATGAAGTCTGTGTTAGCTTTTCATATCGACCAAACTTACGAGAGCGAAACAAAGGTTAAAATATTATCATCGTTGCTTGTAAACAAAACGAGATAAAAGAATCTCTCCTACGATAACGTGTTGTTGATACACTGTTTCTCACTTCAACAGAGTAACAATAACAAGGCAGCGTCACAACACCAACGTCAGCATTACAGTCTCCGTCACCGTCACCGTCAGCACAGGACCATGTCAGATGTCAACGTGAGTCAGACCTTCCTGATACTGCCTTCCTGATACTGCCTTCCTGACACCATCTTCCTGACTCTACCTTCCTGACACCATCTTCCTGACTCTACCTCCCTGACACCATCTTCCTGACACTACCTTCTTCCCGCAGGAGTCTGAGACGCGGGCACTGCTGTGGTGCATCACTGGAGGCATCGTGCTGGTTCTGTGTGTGATGGCAACGATCACCTGCCTCTTGCTGCGTTACAACCGAACCATGAAAGGTACTACGTCAGGCGCCAGTATATTGTGTGTGTGTGTGTGTGTGTGTGTGTGTGTGTGTGTGTGTGTGTGTGTGTGTGTGTGTGTGTGTGTGTGTGTGTGTGTGTGTGTGTGTGTGTAGCTGCAAGGGACAAGGGACTAGATTAAATCTCTCTCTCTCTCTCTCCCATATCTCTAGACAGTGGAGATTAGAGTTAACGACCTGGCCCACATATATATCTCTCTCTCTCTCTCTCTCTCTCTAACAAGCACCATATCTGATCACAGCTCCAAGGGGCAAGAGAGTCAGGGTTAGAAGTTCTCGTGGGGATGGCCATCGACTCAACACACCGGGCTACAACAAGGCGGCCAAAAAAGAGGAATTGCTTTACCTGCAGCCCAGGCAACACCACCCACTACCCATTGCTCCGGGAAAGATGGCCCCCGACCTCCCCATGGTAAGTCACTCCCACACTTACACGGGTCGGCAATGACGTCACAAGAGGCGCAAGTTTTTATTGTTTTTATCTTTTTATGGACATTACCGCCTAAAGTCTTTGGTTTAAATGGTGTTCTATACATGATATATCGCCGCCTACCTCATACACGAGGACATTATCTCGTCAACACAGATTTGTGAATGACTTAGAGAATATTGAGATACATTAAGAGATAATTTACCATAGATCAGTTAACTTTTGTACGACAACAACCAAACTCTCACAGCTGACTTTGACTAATTTAAACGAACTTGACCTAACCCAACCTACTGTACTATAATCTGTCCTAACCTAATATAATTTACCCTGACCTAATCTAACTAAACATAACTTTGATATAATCTCACCTAAGTCCAACTAAATCTCACATAATCTAACGTAACCCAATTTAATCTACCCTAGCATAACATAATTCACCCTTAACGTAACTTAAAGCTAACCTAACCTAAATTTCCTTAAACAAACCTCATTAACTTAAACATAGTGAAAAAATAATTAAGTAAAACGGAGTCAATTCGACCATTACTCTTACCCACCCACGGCTTAACCTAACCTAACCCACAGCCACTATCCCTCACTTAACTCATCGGATCCCCAACACTCACTCTCTCTTACTCTCCCAGGGCCACCACTCACTCTCTCTTACTCTCCCAGGGCCACCACTCACTCTCTCTTACTCTCCCAGGGCCACCACTCACTCTCTCTTACTCTCCCAGGGCCACCACTCACACTCCCAGGACGAACACTACACTCCCGCATCATCAGTGGAGAACCACATCTACGACGAACCAGAGTTAAAGGTCCCTGACAACACTCAACACGACTACTACAACGCCAGTGAAACCTCCGGTGAGTAGAAACCTCTCAAGTGAAATGTCTCTCAGTAGAAACCACTCAAGTAAAAACCTCTCAAGTGAAATGTCTCTCAGTAAAACCTCTCAAGTGAACTGTCTCTCAGTAAAACCTCTCAAGTAGAAAGTCTCTCAGAAACCTCTAAAGTAGAAACCTCCCAAGTAGAAACCTCTCAAGTGGAAAGTCTCTCAGAAACCTCTCAAGTAGAAACCTCCCAAGTAGAAACCTCTCAAGTAGAAAGTCTCTCAGAAACCTCCCAAGTAGAAACCACTCAAGTGGAGAGTCTTTCAGTAGAAACCTTCCTACGATATATTATGATTCATGGTAGCATAAAGGATTTGCAGGAGTTAAGTTTATGTTGTCCTTATCTTGCAGGATCAGTTGAGTACGAGACTATTGACTACTGCATCCCCTGAGTCCACGGCCATGTGACCTCTCCTCTTCTCCTTCCTCTTCTTCTTCCTCCTCCTCCTTCCTCTTCTTTTTCTCCTCCGCCTTCTTCTTTCTCTTCTTTCTACTACGTTTTCCTCCTCCTCCTCCTCCTCCTTCTTCCATTATTTTCTTTATTCTTTTTATCTTTCCATCAAGTTTATCAACTTCTCTTACTATCTTCTGGTACCTGATTATAATTTTTATTTCCTCATCAGGTAAATATTGCCATAATTACAACACCTATTTATGGTCGCGGTAGTCAGATATATTAATATGTTAAATGCCTATTTAACAACTGTCGAATAGGTTAAAATCAATAGCAATACATGTTAATATCTGCGTACTGTTGGCTCCTATTAGTTAAAATCTTAACTATTTTTAAGATGAATTGTATTAACATCTATGTAATGTTCACCTAATTAAGTGCAATTAAGAATGATTTAACCTCTGTACAGTAGAAGTGACTCACATAGATAGGAATACATTTTAACCTATGATATAACAGTTAAGTAATTCTATCAATATTTTTGTAAGGATATAAATAATGGTGTGAATAAGATGACCAGTTTTAACACTTAAGGGGTCGGTTGTTAACTCTCACCATTAAAAATGTTAACACGCTGTCTCAAGAATGGTGATTGATCTTAAGAAAATATATACTTAAATCTTAGTATTTAACTTGTTATTAATTCTGAGCGTTAACAGTGAATGCTGACTTTTGTATAAGGAATGCTTGTTAAATTCTAAGCATGTAATGGATTAATTCTTCTTTATTTTGAATAATATTGAAGTTAGTTTTGTAATAAAGTTAATTCCCAGGATTTGTCAGGTTAGCTCTAGATACAATACCATAGAAACTTTCTGCACGTTTCCAGCATAATATTTTAATTGACTGTTACATAAGTGGAAGTATAAGTGGGTCTCTTAGGCATGTCTGCCCACCACTAAATCTTCGGCTCAGTACACAAGGAGGCAGCGTGGCCGGTACTGCACTCGACCGACTTCACTTCCCCAAGTTGTAAACTTTGGTACCCATCTACAGCTGGGTCAGCTAATAATTTAGGGTGTCCTAAAATTTTATTTGAGGAACAGGATGTCCCAAAAATTAACATTAGGTACAGTCGGGGTCAAAAGTGTTGAACACTTAGCAATACCTGGCATCTACTTGTACTATATATGATTGGGATATACTAATAACACTACTTGTCATCACATATTACGTCTGAACCACAAAACTCTCCTTAATACCTAAGATCTTCGGGTACTTACATGCCAAATACTGTCAAGTGTTCGAGACTTTTGACCCAGACTGTACATGGTATCCCAAAACTTAAGGCAAGGGACAGTGGCCCGAAAATTTAACACAATTAAGTTTTTAATTATTTTGATTAATAACATTGACTAATCTTAGCTTGTATGTTGCCTAACGGTGTGTGTGTGTGTGTGTGTGTGTGTAGTCATATCAACATTGAACCCTTGATATTATCCCTCAACAGAAAAAAAATCCACCTTGTAAAGTTGGTGACACTGCTCCATGTCAAACCCATTGACTTTGTACACTATCAATAAATAACTAAGCGAATTAATTGTCTAACCTCATTCTGTAAAACGTTAAAAAACAGTAAAATAATAATAATAACAGTAATGGGTTGACATGTCAGTAAATGGCGTCAAAAGTCCATGACATTATTTAAAATCTTAATTCAATAAACTAGTTAATTAATTACACAAGTCTCTTTAATTAACCCTGTAATTAATGTTTAATACAGTGACAAGTAATTCTAGAGTACTCAGGGAGTTAAGTTATAGTACTCAACTTGTCATCATGTTCAAGGGGTTAAATCATTGTACTCAGGGACTTAAAACATTGTATACGAGGGGGGTTAGGTTAGGTTAGGTTAGGTACACAATAAGTTAAAAAAAAATAGTATGATAGATAAGTAAATACAGAAAAAAAATTACATATACAAGTACAAGTAGATTTAGATAAAGTTTACGCAGACAGAAAAATTTGGATATCAAGTTTACATTTAAAGAGAGGTAAAAATTAAAGGTCTCTCTAGTTGAATTGTAGAGTAGTGCGATAGCGACCGGTCGAGTGAGGGAGGGATGGAAGGAAGGGGGTTTCAATAATATTTCCAAAATTTCAACTTATTTTTACCACGAAGTTTTTTCTTCATTTTCTTCTCCCTCATCTCAACGCCACGTTTCCACTAGTATATACGTGTTGCTTGTTATAATTCCATCTATACTAAGGACAGAAGCATATCACCTCCCTGCCCTTATGCCTTGAACTCTTTTAATAATTTCTTCATGGGTATCGCTTCAGCCGGCAGTTGAGTAAGTTGATCTAAAAGATATTCGATGGACTCGACGTTTGTCTCGGCAGCTAATTTTATCAAATATTAGGTAATTACTAAAATGATAGTCAGAATTATTATTACCACACTTACGGCAAAGATCTTTTTCCATGGTAAATCCTTGATTATTTTCATGAAAATCTTTATCTTCATAAATCTTTTGAATATTTTTCGACGAGCCTTTAATTTCAATTCAGATTTATTCTTCCCTTTGACGGAGGGAGGAGGGCGTGTGGCTGAGGGAGTCTTGGTGTCTTTAGGGAGGCTATCTTCTAGTCTAGAGAGAGTCTCATCTTCCTCAGAGAGAGCTTCGTAATAAGGAAAGTTCCCTGTATTAGAGATATCCTCCGAATGAATCCTGTCGAAAAAGGCCTTCACATAGTCAACATCTGCGTGGTCTGCTTCAGGAGGGATCTGGGGGAAAATATCTTCATCATATAATTTAACTTTCTCATTGTAACGACGTTGGATTGTCTCAAATTTAGGTGAGGAGCCACTGAAAGACCCATAGACGAATGTACTGCCTCCCTCCTCCCCTGCAATGTGATAATCGCGTTCTCTCTCAGTTTTCGTGTCTTCTATCTTTTTCTCGTCGTCTTCCCCCTCTTTGACCTTATGATCCTTGACGTAGGGCTCCGGGTCATCTTGCTCGCCGAAGACATATTCCGTGTGGATATCTCTGCTAGGTGTTTCCTCCCACGACTGTACATTGAGCTCGACCAAGGACCCGGTTTCCTCGAAGACCATCTACGTCTCAGTATCCAGTTGCTTCTTTAAGAATGGTGGGATCATGGAAGCGATCGACCTGATGTATTCTTCATCTGTCTCCCCGTTCTCGTTGTTAAACAAATCCCAGTCCATTTCCTCTTCTTAATTTGAGACCTAATCATTTTCTTCATCAGAATCAGTATCCGAATGGCTCCCTATCCAATCAAAGTCATCGGATAATTTTACCATGTCATGTACATCATCATTATCCTCATCTTCATCAAAATCCCAAGGCTTCCCTGTCCAATCAGAGTCGCCGGGTAATTTCACCGTGTCATATACATCATCACTATCCAAATCATAATTCCAAAGAGTACCTTTCCGATCCTCGTCCCCATACCAGTCCTGCATACCTTATATCTACTTATCTGACTGTTCTTCATCACTATGTTGCCCCAAGCTCATGTTACTTAATAACATCACCAACAAGGCCAGGAGAAACAGGTCCAATGTCCCGACACTACCAAAAATAAACCGATACATCTTGTTTCAATACTTTATTTCAGGTAAACTTTATGAGACTAACTTACAGAAGATGAGGATTTTGGGTAAGTGCTTGAAATCAAAGTGAGGATGGATACCAGTCTCCAGTACTGTGCTAGTGTGTAGGTGTTTTATTTGTTTGTGTTTTTAGCGGAGAATAGCCAACCCAGGCACAGGTCATCGGCCTGGGGAGAGAAGAAAGAGTATGTTAATCTACACCACGAAGATAACCGGAAGACCAGAATTTCGGAGTGAGACATTGTATGAAGATGGAAACACGGAAGAAGGCAGACCATTCCACAGTTTGTCTGTGTGAGGAAAGAAGGGTGTACTATAACGGGTTATTCTAGTGTGACCGACATCCACACAGAAACGGTGTGGTGGATGTACGGTAGATAATGGTAGCTACACTACTCCACCAAGTTTATCATGTTAGCTACTCTACTCCACCAAATGTATCATGTTAGCTACTCTACTCCACCAAATGTATCATGTTAGCTACTCTACTCCACCAAGGTTATCATGTTAGCTACTCTACTCCACCAAATGTTATCATGTTAGCTACTCTACTCCACCAAGTTTATCATGTTAGCTACTCTACTCCACCAAATGTATCATGTTAGCTACTCTACTCCACCAAGTTTATCATGTTAACTACTCTACTCCACCAAGGTTATCATGTTAGCTACTCTACCCAAATTACCCAGAATTTGTATAATACAATTTACATTACTAATTACATTTATTTATACATAAACAAATATCTACAATGTTTACAGTAATACAAACAGCGTTGTATTCTGTTTTGTCCCTTTGATTTATCTTAAAAATATGTCAAATTTCATAGGTGTTGTCCATCTATCGTGGGATACAGAACACCTACCCATGTGTTATGTAACCGGTAAAGGTATACTAATTAATCATATACGGCCATCTTACTTAATGCAATATTTGTACATAATTGTGTTACATATGAACACTGACACTGTAATATATACACTTAATTGTTTAACACATTATCACTAACATCACACCACTTATCTTCCTTATTTAATGCACCTAACTCATCATTAATGAAACCACATAAACACTCAATTAAATTACACACAATCACTAAAACTTCCACGCACACACACACACACACACACGTCATGTCTCCTCCACTTATGTTCGTCACTTTAGGAAGCCTTTACCGTGCCTCCTCCAGGTATAATCATCACTTCCTGGTGATCTTGGAGGCCTTGTTAGGTCTCCTCACCAAGAGCCAGTGGGTGATAATATCCCACAGGAGGATGAGAGCCGCCAACCCCGTCCCGCCGCCCAGCAACACGAACGACATCTGTAGAACACGAACATCGGTGACGGGAAATTCGAGAATAATGTGAATAATTTGTTGGCGTATAATTACAATGAATAATATCCTAATATCGTAATATTTTAAACTAAAAAAATAATTGGTCATGTTCAAGTATATTATAAAAAGCTGATTGAACTTAGGGTATTAACTTTATCTTTCTGTCACGGTAGTTTAAGACGGAGAGAAAAGCAAAGGAATTTATATATTTATTTATCGTATTATTTATGAATGATCGTTCTTGGTGGTTTCATCTATAAAAAGAAAACGAAGTTAGACGAAGGGTAAACATGATGGAGTACACTCACCTTCATGTCCACTAGTGTGTAGGGAGCAATCTCGGTCACCCTATTAGAGGCGAGGTAACAGTGGGAGGCTCCCCGTAGCTCCTCCGTCACCCACTGAGCGTAGATGCCGTACTCCCTTAGCGACAGGATCCTCGCACACCATACATATAAATTTAGTATTTCGAAGATTTTTACACACTTAGAAGCTAGATTTGAATAGGGGGTTTATATAATTAAGCCATATATAAACGGGGAAATTAGATGATTAGAAGCCAGATCGGAATGGGACATATGGGTGGTTAATAACTAGGGGATTCGAGTCTGTTTAATGTGTTAAGATCCTGAGGTGGCAAGGAGTGGAGACCTTCTGTGGTGGAAGTGTTCTCCCGGATTCACTCTCACTCACCTGGCGTTGAAGAGGTCCAGGAGAGGACTGCCCTTCGAGACGGCCATGGAGATGTAAATTGAATAGCTGTAACTCCGAGACATGTAGAAGTTACACCTCCCTGTAACACCAAGGTATGAGAGAGAGAGAGAGAGAGAGAGAGAGAGAGAGAGAGAGAGAGAGGTAACATCTTGTAAACATAATTAACAAACAATCTAAACACATTTCAGAACCCAAACATTTCAGAGCCAAAACTACTCAAGGTCTTAGAGAGCCACACGTACCAGTCTTGGAGAGGTTAATGGACATATATTTCTTGATCGTGTGTTCCTCCAACAAGGCTGCGTGGCCACGGTCAGGCAGGTCCCTCTCCAGTACCTCCTGTAGCTCGGACGCCTTCAGGAACCTTCCTCTGCGTTTAAGCTCCTTTGAGATTTCCTTTACAATAGACTGTTCCGACTCCTGTGGTGAGGGGAGATGAGGAGGGGGTGAGAAGGGTAGGGGAGAGGAGTAGGGGGGAGGGGGTAGAGAAGGAATAGACGTGGAAGAGAGGGGAGTGGGTGGGAGCATGGGGGAGAGGGGAATGGATGGAGTTTAGAGGAGAGGGGAGTGGGCAGGGGTAGGGGGAAGTGGGTGGGGGTGTGGGAAGAGGGAAAGAGGAGATAGAGAGAGAGGGACTATAGAAGGATAAAGGAAGTACAATGTAGGGAAGGACAGTGAGGGAGGGTATGTAAGGAAGGAAAGAGACTGAGTGTAGAGGGAGGAGTGGAAGAGGTGGAAGTGAGGTGAGGCGGAGCATGAGAAAGATAGACAGACAGAGAGGACAGACAGACAGACAGGCAGACAAACAGGCAGGCAGACAGAGAGAGACAGACAGACAGACAGACAGACAGACAGAGACAGGTGACAGACAGACAGAGAGACAGACAGACAGACAGGCAGACAAACAGGCAGGCAGACAGAGAGAGACAGACAGACAGACAGACAGACAGACCTGGACGAAGGCCTTGAAGCTGGTGTTGTCCTCCAGTAGAAAAGTCAGGTTGTGGTCGTTCAGGATGTCTCTCAGGTCATCATGGGTAGCGGGTAACGACTTCACCGTCAGTAGCGAGGTGTACGAGCTCCTGACGAGGGAAGTAACGTAAGGAACACGTGGGTTAAGTAGCATAAGTAACTGTAAGGTAATAAAGTGATGTGAAGAAGCAGTATAATGGTGGTAAGTAGCATTAAGTAACACAGTGGTAGTAAGTGGCGTGAATAAGTAACATTAAGTAACATAAGAGTGATAAGTGAAGTGGGTTAAGTAATATAAGTGGTGTATATTAAGTTAATAAGTGGCTTAAGTGGCGTTAAGAGGCATAAGTAATGCAAATAAGTGCCAAATACAACGTAAAGTGGCATGAGTGACGTGGGTGAGACGAGACGATGTGAGAGGTGAGAGAGACAGGTGAGAGAAAGGTGAGAGAGAGACAGGTGAGAGAAAGGTGAGAGAGAGACAGGTGAGAGAAAAGCGAAAGGTGAGAAAGAAATGTGAGAAGCAAGACACAAGTGAGAAGTAAGAGATAAAGAGACCAGTAAGAGAGAAAGGAGGAGACAGGTAAGAGATAAGATACTCACTTGAAGTAGGAGGTAACGATGAGAGAAAAGAACATCCAGGTAATACAGGTGATCCTCATGGCGGCTCCCTTCGGCTCCCAAGTCACACCTGTAGTAATGATTAGCGTGTTATTGCGAGTTAGTGAGTGTCAGTGCGTGTTATTGCGTGTTATTGCGAGTTACTGAGTGTTAGTGAGTGTTATTGCGTGTTATTGCGAGTTACTGAGTGTTAGTGAGTGTTATTGCGTGTTATTGCGAGTTACTGAGTGTTAGTGAGTGTTATTGCGTGTGATTGCGAGTTACTGAGTGTTAGTGAGTGTTATTGCGTGTTAGTGCGTTTTATTATTGTTAAGGTGTTTTGTTTACATGTTAATTTTAGTTTGTGTGACTTTGTGTTAAATTTTGTGTGTGTGTGTGTGTGTGTGTGTGTGTGTGTGTGTGTGTGTGTGTGTCGTTATCTTCATTTATTTGGGCTATTTAAAGCAATTTTCGCTCGGTATCAGGATTTGTCTGTCCATTTAACACTACTACTCCTACTAATACATTAATAATAATAATAATAATAATAATAATAATAATAATAATAATAATAATAATAATAATAATAATAATAATAATAATAATAATAACAGCGAGTAAGACTACAGTATAACTAATTTATATATTATCAAGACAAATATTGTTTAAAAATCAACATATACTGTACAAATATATACTGATAGATAGATAGATAGATAGACAAAATATATGGTTCATTATATAATTTAGATTTAAATTGGAAAAGTGTAGGAAAGGTGAAGAGGCCGACAGACACACAGACAGATAGACAGACACACAGACAGATAGACAGACACACAGACAGATAGACAGACAGACAGACAGACAGACAGACCCTGAGAGACGAGAACAGCGAACACGGTCAACAGATGGTCACTCAGGCCTCGAGGACCCCGGAAGTCGATCACCAGCTGCGCCACCATAAAGCTCACCATCCACATCACCAGCAGCGACACCAGCAGGCAGATCCACACCATCCACCTGTGTATGGTGAGACCGGCTGTGTTTAGTGAAGCCACCTGACTGTCAGTTAGGGGTCACATAAAAGTCAAATAGTGCCAAATACGGGTCAATCAGAGGTCATGCAGGGGTCAAACACTCACGTAAACGGGGCAGCAATGGTCCAGGGGTCAGGGAGGGGTCTAGGGCGCCCAGTCATGATCCTGAAGTACTCCTGGCCGAGGGGCACCGTGAAGTTGGCCACCTTGCTCCTGCTGTAGGTCACGCCGATGGGTCCTAATGCCATGTCCACTTCCTATAGGATATAACTCACTGTAGGATGTGTGTGTGTGTGTGTGTGTGTGTGTGTGTGTGTGTGTGTGTGTGTGTGTGTGTGTGTGTGTGTGTGTGTGTGTGTCTGTGTGTGTGTGTGTGGTTTAGCTCGTTGTAGGGCATGTACAGTAATCACCATAGGATCGTATAGGATTTATGTCCCTCGTTATATAGGATCCAAAAGGCGATAATAATCACTGAGATTAATATAGAATTTGTGAAACCATAATTATAATTCAAGCTCAGGGGATAAGATTACTCTCACTTGTTCTGCCTGTGTGTGTTAGTCTGTTTTTTCTTGTAGTATTATATATCATGGAAGCGATATCGTAAATTTATGAAGCTTCTCACCTGCCTGTGTAACATCCCCAGCATGCCGTTCCAAGACCCATCCTTCTCTAGGGCACCGAAGTACCCATCCCCCCTCACGAACCTGTACCTGTCAGGGGTGGTGAAGGAGGGACGGTGTTATGAGGAGACAGTTGCTCTCTCTCTCTCTCTCTCTCTCTCTCTCTCTCACTTGATTTATGATATTTTGATATGGATGATCGACTCACCAAATGTCTTCCCATAGTTGGTCGATTTACCAAAGAAAGTCGACTAACAATAAAAGGTCGACTAACCATAAAAGGTCGACTAACCATAACAAAAAACAATTATCACAGAAGAACCAACTTACCAACACTCCCTTGACTCACTTGAAATTCAGAGTCGAGGATAACACATCAAGGAGCTTCCTGGAGGGCCCGCTGACGGAGGCGAAGGTGTCGTTATACCAAGTGACCTTCGTGTAGGGTAGCCACTCCTCCGCCGCCACCAGGAGAGTCGGTGCCTTCTCAAACCTGACGGAGTGAAGTGTAACCAAAGGCGGCCAAGTTATTGTATTTGAGTGAGAAAAAATATGAATTTATTCGGGATATTATTTTTATTATTATTATTATTATTACCGTAGTATTATTGTCATTATAAATATTCATATCAACAGTATTGGTAGTATAACACTCATACACTAATTCTTAATGTTAGTGCACCAGTTATTACAGACAGTTAGTACAGCAGGTTGTTGGCACTGACCGGAACTTGAGAATGTTGCCACCCCGTGCAGCCTCAGCAGACCCCAGCCTCGCCTCCTTCTGCCACCAGGCCCTGTACTTCTCTCTACCTGTATAAACATTGTTCATTGTACCAGCACACATATTGTTCATTGTATGGCCGGACATTCCGTGCTTTGTACATTGTGCCATCAGAATTATATTGTGCATTGCTTTACCAGACATACTGTGCTTGTGCTGTACATAATTATTTATACCATCAGATATATTGTACACTAAAGCACCTCACACGTGCACAATGTACCACTAGACAGAAGACTCAAGGGGTTGTGTCAAGGGGTCACAGTTGACCTTAGAGTGTTTATGAAGTTTTGACGACAACAACAAAAACATATTAACCAAACCTAACTTAACCTTAACTTATCCTAACCAAATCTAACCCTAACTTAATCAAACCTAAATTATCCAAACCAAACCTTACTTAATCCTAACTTAACCTATAACATAACCTAATCTGACTTATCTTAACCTAACCCAACCTAGCTTTAACTTAACATAACTTACCTAAATGTAACCTATCTTAATCTACCCTTAGCTTAATCTTAGCCTAAACTAACCTAACATAATCTAACTTACGCCACTACTAAACTTTGGGATAAATCAATTGTTGCGTCAGAGTTCCCCACCATGACGTCATAGTCGATAAGGACCAATCAGCACGCGTCTTCGTACCCGGATCAGTAAGAGAAATAACGAATATTACCATCCATCTATCAACCAGTCTCCATTATATACACCTGATCCTATTATCCGACGTATGTCATCTTAAAGGGACTCCCCCAGTGGGAATATCTTGACTATATTTATCATTCCTTCCTGCAAATAAGTCGTAAATTCGTCTAGTTAAAACTTCCTCCGCCATTTACAAGACAGGTAATCAATACTTAGTGAAAGGTGACGCGACACATTGCCATACTTCACTGTTGAATACTTGTCACGCCACGCACCAGTCTATGTTTTTCTCTCACATCCTCCCGTGCTGGAGCAGTTTCAGTACTGTATAAAGGTACTGTACAGAAGTGTGTATAAAGAGATGGAATGTTGCACGGAATTAACACTAGCACACGACAAATTCTTTCAACCAACATATGTTTTTCATATCCTTTTATGTTATAGCACTTCATAGTAAGATATAGTGTAGGAAAAGAAAACTGTCCGTTTTATTAGCGATGTCCAGTATACGTACATTATAGGAAATAACACCGAACTTGTTTGTTTTCACTGAGACTCTTTTGAGTATTATTCATGTATTCTACAGTCAACAACAAATGTTCTGCACCCGACCCTAAGTGACGGCCTTCACAACGATCACTGGCTGAGACCATGTTCATTTGGTAAGGTAATGTTGGTACTTGTGATGCATTGTGTATCCAATACGATGGATCCTATATATCACATTTTTAAGGTATTACCCACCCGGCCACGGGTGACCGACCCACATCCGGGCCTGGGAGGGGGGGGGGAGGGGGGGATAAATTGCATCATGAATAAATACAGAAATGGAAAAAATAAATCAAGAGTGAGAAACAATATATGTATGTTGTGTTGTCAAAGTAAGAGAAATAATTGAGACCCTGCAACTGTGTGTAAATGAGGCAGAAAGTCAGATCATCAACCTGGGACTTGGTCACATATGGCAGCAGGGTCTACCATAAGACAACACGTTATGCTTCCAATATCTTCCCAGGCGGTAGTACCTCCCTGTTTGATAGCTGCCTACTACCTAATACATATAAATTAACAGGAATACTGTACACATAAAACCCGTACGTTTGTGAGTATTCTTGGCCCGGTGTGTCATATTGTTTAACACCGTAAAGATGTAGATTTTATTTTATTTTTTTATTTATTTAACTGCACAATCGGGGTCAAAAGTTCGCTCCCTTCCAAACTGAAGCAGCATCGATCCCCAAACGAGACACATCAGTTAAGGTAAGTCAGTTCGGAGACTCATTCCCGTGACTCAGTCTAACAGTGGGCAGCGAACTTTTGTCCCTGACTGTACATCATGTTCTATAGATCTTACAATGGTGGTAATCATGAGTCCTACGTTGAGGGTCAGGAGAACGATTCCGGCGAATAGATATTATCGTGTTAGGATGTGAGCAATATTATGTACAAGATTCCAGATATATAACACAAGTGTGTCGGGGGGAGGGGGGGGTACACGTTTCGTCACAGATCAACTGATGGTGTGTAAACAAACAGAGAGTTGAGCTGCCAGTCATCACACAACAACTTATTTACTCTATAATATATTGACCAATGTGCCTCACTACTGTTGTGTTGAGAACAGTAACACACGGAGGAGTGTCTAGGAGCCATTACAGTAACGCCTCCAAACAAACATGAAGGACAGCTGATATAACCCCAAGTGATAGTGACGGTGAGTGATAGAGTGAGTGTGATGTTAGTGAAAGTGATGGTGATAGAAAGTGATAGTGAGTAATAGAACAAGAGACAGGAAGTGAGAACACGTGGAGACTGAGAGAGAGAGAGTGTGTGTGTGTGTGTGTGTGTGTGTGTGTGTGTGTGTGTGTGTGTGTGTGTGTGTGTGTGTGTGTGTGTGTGTGTGTGTGTGTGTGTGTGTAAAAAACAGTACTGAGCTCCTTCTAATATTCACACACAAATGAATAGTTTCGGGAATGTTTGTGTGCTGCCTGATCACAACACACACACACACACACGTAGTTTCTTTGTTGCGTACACAATGATGTACACACGCACCCATCCTTACCTCTTCCATTGTGAACGTTTCTTTATTGACATACACATAAGCCTACATACATACATACATCCTTGACCACCGAAGGGTCAAGACGTACCTGGCGCTCCTCTCGGAGCAGCCAGGTCAACTGTTAAGTTGGCCCATACCAACTCCCTCCCCTGAACCCTTCCTCCCCACCGGAATATCAACAAGTTCTCGCCAGAAGTTACAATTTCATTTAGGAAAGGAATGGAACCAGTGTTAAACAGAGGTGAACAGTGCTTAAGTCAGTGAGAACAACTCAACAGTAACAGTCGTACCCAAGTTAACCTTCACACAGTGAGGTCCCAGGTACCCAGTGATAACGGCTCGTGAGACAACAACAACCAGCGATGTGTGTATCCGTCTACGATAGGAAGGCCTGGGACCACACTCACTCATATAACACCATCTGTGAAATTACTACACCACGTCAGGCCCTCATAACACCATATGTGAGGATTACTACACCACGTCAAGTCCCTCATATCACCATCTGTCAGGAATTACTACGCAACACCATCTGTGAGGAATTACTACACCACGTGAGGCCCCTCACACCATCTGTGAGTAATTACTACACCACGTGAGGTCCCTCATAACACCATCTGTGAGGAATTACTACACCACGTGAGTCCTCATAACACCATCTGTGCAGGGAATTACACACCACGTCAGTTCCCTCAAAACACCATCTGAGGAACTACTACACCACATGAGGTCCTCCTAACACCATCTGGGAGAGAGTTACACACTACGTGTTTGCTGTTCAACACCTACATTAATCTGTATGTTCACTGTATGTTCCTTTACCTTTCTAATGAAGGCTTTTGTTAAACCACCAAATGTATGTAATAAGTTTTATGTCCAATGTATTTTCAGCCTTCGGGCTGCAGAACTTTTTCAATAAACCGTTAATTATTATTATTATTAATACACTATAAGGTGTATTGTCATGATGATAGCTATGTCTCTGGCCTCTCCACCCAATACTTTCCTAATGAAACTGTAGCCATTCCCCCTACCCTGAACGCTAAGGTCTTAATATTGTATTGGTATTGGGTTAAAAGTGGTAGCTTATCTCTCTCTCTCTCTCTCTCTCTCTCTCTCTCAACATATGTGAAGTTCATCCACCATAGAACCATTAACCTACCCCATCCCTCCCCCACTACTCTAACCAACCTACCTAAACCCCTAACCCACCAAATACCACGATTACAATAACAAGATCCGTGTGTAGTTCAGATTGCTCCCAGGGTCCACAGCACTACACGTCACAACCCATCTTAATAATTCTCTTTGTCGCCATACTAACAGTCTTCATTACCAATTAAGGCATTTTTCTTCCTATTTTCTAGAAGTGCTCTTGTGCATTGCTGTCAGTTTGATTTGTGTGTGTGTGTGTGTGTGTGTGTGTGTGTGTGTGTGTTGTGTGTGTGTGTATGTGTGTGTGTGTGTGTGTGTGTGTGTGTGTGTGAGGGGAAAAGAGGATGGTTGTGTTGTGGGGAGAGACGGTGTGCGTGTGTGTGTGTGTGTATAGAAGGGAAGGGTGTAAATAAGTGTGCGTGTTTGGAAGGGTGTATTTGTTCCTGAGTGTGTCTTTGACTTAATATGTAAATAAGTGTGTATGAACATTATTATACCTGTGTCTGTCTACATGTTTGTCTTTCCGTCTGTCTCTGTCTGTCTGTCTGTCAATACAAACCAAATCATTAAACACATGTCCTATTACGGTGATGGTTGTAGACAGTTCCATTCAGGTTTGGTCATTATAACACACACACACACACACACACACACACACACAGGTACTATACAGGATCAGTTATCGGTTATAATAAACAACGGTATTCCGCCTTACACTTCATTAATGCCGCATTGGTCTCTTCCTACGCCATAAAGCTGTGGAAATGATGGCGGTAATAAAGTATTTTTTTAAAGGTGTGTTAAGGTCCATGTTCTCCGTAATAGTAGACTTGATATGCAAGAGGCTTACCTCAGCAGAGCTTTGAGCCACAGCACCAGTCACCAGCAGCAGTAGGTGGGCCCCAAGCACCAGGTAAAACGTCAGGCCAGCCACCTTCACCACATCTGTACCACAACACGTGTAACTGTAATTAACACCTGGGTGTCTCTGACGTCATGTTAGTTAAAATTTATCAAGACAATCTTAATCTATTTTGACTTAACTAATGCTAGATTAAATTAGCTTAATCTAATCTAACTTAGCCTAATGTAATCTAATCTAACTTAATTCAATCTATTTTAAGTTAATCCAACTCTCATCTATCCTAACCCTAAACTAAGCGACACTTGAGCCATCAAAAACAATAGATACTCTTTGAACAAATCCACATTACCGTAGTAGTTCCTTAATGTATTATTCAAGACGTAGTAATGTATCTTTAGTTCCGTTTAAAAACAATATTTGTACAATTTTAAAATACAGGTAGGTACAAATATTATGTGGAGAACAGACTAAGAATATTTAAAGGATAAATGTAGGTGATGGATGTATATTAGAGTGATTGTTGTTATTGTCAGTGGTGGTATTGTTATTGGTGGTGGTGGAGATGTTGTTGTTGTTGGTGGTGGAG